ACAAGAAGCTAGTGCAGAAGCTAGAGATGCAGGCAGGAGTGAAAGGGAAGGTACTCTATTGGATAAGGGAGTTTCTAAGTAACAGAAAACAGAGTCACTGTGAGAGGTGAGGCCTCAGATTGGCGAGGTGTCACCAGTGGAGTTTCAGTCCTTGGACCTATACTTTTTCTTATATATTTAAATAATCTCCCAGAGGGTATAAAATTGTTCCTCTCAATGTTTGCTGACGATGCAAAAATTATGAGGAGGATTAAGACAGAGGAAGATCACGTTGCAATTTTCTGGCATTCCAAAGCACTTCTGTTATATACTGTACTTCACTCCATAAAACGTCACCCTTAAGGGGCGGTTCTTGTCTCATATTTTCTTATCCTCCTAAATTCACTGACATGCTCCTTTGAATTTAGATCTTCTCCTAATCCTACTATTAATCCTATGACAATCGTCTAAGTTTCTTATCCTTCCTATTATGTGTGTGTGTGTGTGTACTCACCTAGTTGTGCTTGCGGGGGTTGAGCTCTGGCTCTTTTGTCCCGCCTCTCAACCGTCAATCAACAGGTGTACAGGTTCTTGAGCCTACTGGACTCTATCATATCTACACTTGAAGCTGTGTATGGAGTCAGCCTCCACCACATCACTTCCTAATGCATTCCATTTGTCTACTACTCTGACACTGAAAAAATTCTTTCAAACATATCTATGGCTCATTTGGGCACTCAATTTCCACCTGTGTCCCCTAGTGCATGTGCCCCTTGTGTTAAAAAGTCTGTCTTTATCTACCCCTATCAATTCCTTTGAGAATCTTGTATGTGGTGATCATGTCCCCTCTAACTCTTCTGTCTCCCAGTGACGTGATGTTTAATTCCCGTAGTCTCTCCTCGTAGCTCATACCTCTCGTACCCTCGGTCACATAACCTCAAATGTGATTGTTATGGGAAGCTATCAGTGCTATAGCTATAGGGAGCCACCAAAGGACTCCTCCCAGGAAACCAGATATTAATAGTTAAAAATCAACATATGATAACCACATTACATCGTGAATCAATATATGATAATAGCAATTTAAAGGTTAATCAAACATTTGTGCCATGGAGGGAGCATGTCAGTATCCAACCCGTCCTCAGACCAAGTCCATTCCATCCAGCAGTCGACCCCAAAGACTTACTTACTTACTTACTTATTTATTTATTTATTTATTTATTTATTTATTTATGTATATACAAGAAGGTATATTGGGTTTATGAGATTACATAGCATTGAGGATTTTACATTCTTGTAAAGCCACTAGTGCGCTTAGCGTTTCGGGCAGGTCCTTAATATGGACCTGCATTCAAAAATTTTAACATGCTGTTCATTCAAAATAGACATTTTCTTATAAATTAATATAAATTAGTATTATATAAGCATAGTGTGCATATTTAGGCATTGATTAGGTTAGGTGTTTAGGTTCTGCTGGCAATTATTTGTATTTGTAGTAAATGGGTGAAGCATTTACACCGTTGTGGTTCGAACAAAAGTCGTCAGCGAAGCATTTGTTCGAGAAGCGTTCGAGTGTCATTGTTGTGAGGTGTGTATAAACTGCTTTTCATTCATAAACGGGGGGTTTGGTCAGTCCATAGAATGGACTTTGGCCTTTTTTGTTTGAGGATGGGCTGCAGTGTCATTACTATTTGGAAAGAAGGTTTACACAGTTGCTTTTTCTTAATGATATGAACCTCTAAAGCTCGGTGTGTATACCTGAGACTACGTAATTTTTCCATTTTTTTTTTTTTTTTTTTTTTTTTTACCCCCCCAGATATCTGGAATGCTTGCCACAACAGCAACTTTTGGTTTTGGGAAAACAGTATGTTCTGGCTATTCTCACGAATGGCTTGGCACAACATTGGATATGTGGATTGGGAAAAACATCTCCCTATGGTGTTCACTAAGGTATGTAGTTCGATTTACAATTTTAATAGGTAGTTATCTCGCTTTAGGTTTAGAAACATATGTGATCACTTGTGTTCCAGTTAGTTCCTTTTCATCCGACAATTTATTTGTTATCCTTCCCATAAACTAAAAGACTCCATTTAGAAAAATACATAAATTTTCCCAATACTGTATTAAAGCTAGAAACCTGGAGACTCCTTGGTTAAAAAATATTATGATCTTTGTACATATTGACTAAACTTGTGCATACTTTTGCCAGAAATTATTTTTACGACTGATTAGATAGTGTTAGAGGCAGAAACATATATTAATAAATATGTTCACTTTTAGTAATCTTAGGTCAACGGAGTGTATTTGAGCCTTGCCTCATTTGTCTGCCATTCTCATGGCCAGGACTACACACAGCTAGTCAACATTTACTCAACATGGTGGGGGTCTTTCCAAAATACCCTTGCCAATTGACAGAATGGCCATCAAATATTAATTCAGCTACAGTCAAAGCCACCTTGAAATGATACTCGACTACACGGATTGCCAACCATTGCTCCACTAACTGCTAGTTGGCTACCTGGCCACTACTCTGGACCATTACCAGGGAACAGCTAACTCCATATTTAGTCTGGCGCTTTCCCTTGATAAATGTCAGCTGCTGTGGAGTCCTTTCTTGAGAGGTGGGGGGGGGGGGGAAGGTACAGTAGTTAGGGGCCATCTCAAAGAGATGGCCTCTTTAGTTCAGCCTACCAAGGACCAGAGCCAGAACCTCATCACCTTTCAAAGGCACCGGAAGTAGGTGGCACTCTGCCACCTCATCAAGTAAGGCACCAAGAAAGTCAGCAAAGCAATGCAGACCACTTCTGGATAATTCAGATGTCCAGTAAACTTAGATGTGGGTGGGCCCCATTTGATCTGAATTCCCAAGTGTTGACAGAATTTGTAAGCATGTAAAAAAAACTCACCTACTTCAATAGGGTTGCCTCCTGATTTGCTCCTGAAGTTAGGAATATCAATTATTATTAGCAGATATAAATAAAACTTGTATCACTGAGAAATGACTATGCATGAGGAACATCATCACAACATAAAAGAGGCATTGAGTAATGAGAACAGAAATTTCTAACATTCTTTATTTGTAGATAACATTTGCTTGCAATGGCTGTATCAAATCTAAAATAATCTGAAATACTAGTCAATTTTCATCTTCATGTTTCTCTACACTAAGTAGGTTTTAATAAAATGGATACAGACATGATAGAATCTCATCATTACCTGGGTGAGGGAACACAGATAGAAGCACCACTTCCAAATGAACTAAAAGAATTAACATGATTTGAGTGTGTGTGGAATGCATATGAGAGGTAGTACTTACAGTACAGTACTTGCAAATTCAATCCATGCATTTGAACTATTTATATTTCAGAGGTTTTGATTTAAGGCCCATGAGTTCGATCACATTTCCAACAAATACTGCTAGGGGACTATAGCATGTTTAGATACTAAGAACATTGCAGCAGGTTAAAACTTTGTAATTTTTTATGGTTGCTGATTGGCATTTTTGTATAAATTATAGTTTCCTATTGTACATTATTTTTCTTAGTAACTCATTATATTTTAACTACATTACAGGTACTGCGATCATTCCGCCTGCCAGTTTCATACAAAAAAGCACATGTTGGCAAAGGAGATGGTCTTTCCCAATTTGCATCAGCAATGTTTATTGTTGCTAATTTGGTAAGTGAAGTTAGTGTTTTTAGAAGAGATCAGATTAGCTCAAACATTTTGGCTCGTGAAGACTAAACCACACAACAGAAAATGAGGAGACGACAACATTTTGGTAAGTTCTGACCATTATCAAGTTGTGATGGGAGCAAGGGAGGCACGGGCATTAAGTAAGGCAAGAGAGAGAGGTGAGGGGGAGGAAATTCCTAAGAGTAAGGCAGAAGGTAGGGATGGGATGGGTGTAAGTAGGGGTAAGAATGGGTATAAGAGGAGAAAGAGAAAAAGGGTTTGTTAGGTCATGTTTGTTAGAAAGGTTAGAGCATTAGAGTATGAACTGTGAAAGGGAAGAGTCAACAGCAACAAAGCCAGGACTAAGGTTCATGTTGGGTATGTTGTGTATCAGAGCTGATTCGACAAGACGGCGTCTGTGAAGAGTAGAGGCAAGAAAGATTATTTTAGAAAATCAATCAGATGATTAGAATCCCTAACATGACAGAAGAGAGTATTGTTTGTGTTTGCTGACTTAACACACCTTTTGTGTTAGTCTGTTATTTAGTGTATGCCCAGCTTTCCCAAAGTATTGGAGAAGACAAGCTGAACAGAAAATAAGAGTAGACACCAGCAGCATTAGAACCAGGAGGAGCAGTGTGAACCAGATTACTATGAAGTGTTAGTTTGTCGAAAGGCAAGCTTTCCCGAGCGAGGAGCCCGTGTTTCCCTCGCTCCCATCACAATAGACTTGATAATGGTCCAAGATGGACCGAAATGTCGTCGTCATCATCTTGTTTTATGGTGTGTGTGTGGTTTTGTCTTCATGTCTTCAGCCACATTATTGTGACTCATCGTCTGCATTTTGGCCGAATTTGCTCTGAAACCACTTCAAGTACAGTAATTACAACCTATAGACTTTTAAATTAGCCATTTAACAATCGGAAGTAAAATATAAAAAAGAAATAATTAATTTCTAACGCCATAAAAAGTGCAATTTGTTACTGTGTGTTATTACCCGAGTGTAGTTAAAGGATGAAAGCTATGCTCGTGGTGTCCTGTCTTCCCAGTACTCTGTCAAATAACATATTGAAACTACTGATGATTTTTGTCTCCACCACTTAGCTTGTTCCAACTGTCTATTACTGTTAGCAAAAGAAAACTTTCTAATATTTTTTTGGCACCTTTGTTTCATTAGCTTAAATCTGTGTCCTCATGTACGTGAAGTTGCTGGTTTCAGGAAACCCTCTGTCAATTTGGTCGATTATTGTTTGTATTTTGTAAGTGGTGATCACATCTCTATTTTCTATTTTCTAATTTTTTCATGTTTAACGCCTCTACTCTCTCCTTGTAACTCTAGTTTTTCGGTTCCGGAAGCCATTTTGTACATTGCCGTTGCACCTTTCCCAGTTTATTTGTGGGTCTTGAGATTTGGGCACCATACAACTGCTGCATATTCCAATTCTGGTCTCACAAAAGTCATGAGCCGTTTCTTTAGTATTTCACCATCCATATAATTAAAAGCAAGTCTGAAATTGGAAAGCGATGAATATGCTCCTCTCACAAAGTTCTTTGTGGTTTTCCTCTGGCAACAGCTTACAATTGAAAGGTCAATCCTAGGTCTCGTTCTTTATTAGTTATGTAATTCCTTTCCACACAATTTGTAAGTTGTATACACAGAAATCACAATAGTGTGATGCATCAAATGAACAAATCCACAAGGGTCGTGATGAGGGTTCGAACCTACACCCGGGATGACCCCAGACGCGCCTTAGTCGACTATGCCATGACATGGTAAAAGAATTGCAACCTGGAGTGCTACTGCCCTCACAAGGAACCTGCAGCTTCTCCGAGGCACAGACCGGGGTTTTACACAACCTAGCACTCCCGGATGCAGTAAAATTTACTGTAAAAATTAGAATCTTTCCCAACTGTATGTATCTTGGTATTATTAATAGGTTAATAATTTTATATGTATTGCTGTCTAATTCCTTGTTCTCTTTATTTATTCTGAATGGTAGGGAGGAGGAAGCAAGACTCAAGAACACTTGGATCGATTATTCAAGTCTTTAGAATCCTATTACCATCCTTCTAATTCAGGACCTTGGAGCCGCCATCTTCACGAATTCCTCAATAAACTTACACTCCTCTTCATAAGAAGGTTACACAGGTCAGAACAATATTATCACCAATAGATTAGGATAAGTATATTTATCATTAGTGAGTAGTACACCTCTTCCCCTTAGTACTACATAAATAACTCCTTCACAAGATCTTTACTGTAAGAGATTTTCTATGATATAGTTTCTTGCCATTACTTGATTAATATGGTAATACAGTATAAAGGTGTAACAGCTATTTATTTATTTTTGTTTGCTTAAAGAATTTATTGGTTAGAAATAAAAATAAACACTACTGATAAGTTTCCCTGTTTACATGTAGTGTTATTTATTGCTACACTATATCAATTGTTTTGCATTATAGAATATATTATTTAAATGTTGATATAGCCAAAAAAAATGATTACTTGGTCTTGAAAATATAATGACATTGTCAAATTTATGAAATATAAAGCTAATCAAAATGACATTTAAAGATACGTACAGAACTAATTGACACAAAACTTAAGTATTAAAAGTAATGAAATTCTCTTTCCTGGAAGGCCATGATGGCTCCGGAGTAGAGCCATACTCCTCTTCCAACACCTTGGGTAGGAACCAAAGGAGAAGGCTCAGAGTGTGGGTGTGGTGGGGAGTAAGGGGCCAGTTGTGAAGATAATTGAAAGAAAGAACACGAAAAGATTTAGGAGTAATAATGTCGGAAGACCTTACTTTTAAAGAACACAAAAAAGTTGGTCACAACTGCAAGGAAAATGACAGGTTGGATAACAAGAACCTTTGAAGCAAGAGATGTTACACCTGTGATACTTTTTATGACACTAGTGCTCTCTAGAGTCAAATAATATTGCACACTAACAGCTTCAATGCTGAAGAAATTGCTGACCTGGGAAGCATGGAGAGATCTTTTACTGCTAGAATCTACTCAATAACACAGCTGAATTATTGGGACCACTTAAAAATGTTAAATCACATTAACATATATCAATGAACAAATCCACAGGAGCCATGAGGAGGGTTCGAACTTATACGCTGGGTGAGAAATGTGATGTCTGTGTTCTGAAAGAGGGGCGTCAGAGGTAGAATTGCTAGACAGAGCCAGAATACATGGGGGAATTGTGTGAAACACTGGTTCAGCTTCAGTGGAAGCCTCGGGATCCTCGAGGGTGCAGTATTACCCAAAAGAACTGCAAAAGATTGCAGTTCTTTTGACCGTGCCATGGTGTAGTTGACTAGTAGCCCTCACCAATATTGTAATTTTGGACGCCACATGCCTCCCTGCCGGACATTCGTAGAGTAATTTGTGGACGTCAACTCCGTCCCCAGAGGACAGAGGTGTTAAGAGATTTGCAACTATATTAGTACCAGAATTGAGAGGCCTCGGCTATGAGGACAGGCTAAGTTCTCTAATGGTCCCCAGGTCGACTTGGGACCATTTCCTGGAGCATAGCTAGAGATGTTTTCAGGGGTTATTCTACTCCCCAGGCCAGACTTGATCCAATAGGCTGTTGCTTAGAATAGCCTGCAGGTTCACATACCCACTACAACCTCGTTGGTCTGGCACTTCTTGCAAAAACGTATCTAATTGCATTGTGAAGAAGTCCACCTTTGTTCCAGCAATATTTCTAATGCTTACTAGGATGGTATTGAACTGCTTTGGACCTCTGATGATCAGACAGTGCTCTGTGATTGTGCCTATGGCATCTCTTCTCACTGATTCTATTCTGCATTTCCTTCCGATTGAGAGAACTTGCCCTTACATCCTTAGAGGAGAGAAGTTAGTTCATATGGTAAGTACTGTACATACAAGATCCTGAGGGGAATAGACAAATGGGACAGTGGAAGTTTATTTAAATTAAAAAGTGAAAGGACATAGGGACATATGGGAATTGAGTTTAAGAGATGTAAGAAAGTTCTCATTCCTTATATGTGTGGTCGGTGAGTGGAATGCATTGAAGGAAGAGGGTGTTGTCTCCAATTCCATCCACAACTTTAAGGAAAAAAAATATGAAAAGAAAGTTAATGTTGAGAGAGAGGTAATTAGTGCATCGGGTATAAGCGGCTAGGAGGTTGGTCATAAAGAGGTAGACTTCAATCCTGCATAGTCCCTGATGTGTGAGCACCCCTGCCACCACCCATTTCCCATGAAATTAACCAACCTGTTTAAGAAATGCTTCATAATTTTCATAATTAAATTTAACAAGCTGCCCAGTATGGAATATGTGCACCTCTTGGTGGCTGCCAATAGGCCTTCTTATATGAACAATTGTTTATGTATAAAGTTATTATAATTTTCTATTGGATATATGGTATTTAATTGTACTGTATTGACATTATTGTTTTCAAGGTGTTATGAAATTTAAAAAAAATATTTATTTTATTTTAGGGAACGTTATAAGAAACCTTCTTGGGAAGTGGATATTGCTGTCCACAAGAAACTAACAGAAGAAGAAATCACTGCATTTGTACGATGTGTGCAGACTCCTACAATGCTCACCATGTTCTCTCACACGGGGACTCACGATGCTGGGATTGTGTTTCACCGACTTTCTCTTTTACGGCCAGAGATCATCACACCACCCTTGCTTGAACAGTTTGTATATTTTCACTTAGGAATTTTCCAAATCGTCAATCTCGGGAATCTTGTGCCTTTCTTAATACTTAGCATTTAATTGGATTAAATCTTAAATTAATTTTTTATTACTTGTCTTTATCTATTAGTTGTTAATACTCGGTACAGTACTTCCGTTATTCACCTTGCTCATCTATGTGTATCCATTTCATACATAAATTTTTTTTATCATGTTTTCAACTGTTATGGGTTTTGAGGCATCCTCCTACCCTTGAATTACTTTTGGTGCACTTTCTTTTACCAGTTTATATTGATCCATTGGTTCAACAGGCCAATGTTGAACTGGCCTGTTGAACCATATCAACCAGCTATCTTGGTATGCTCTCTGCATTATTGCAGCTTATTTTACTTTTACACTCCACATCTCTACATAATATTTTCATCCCATATTCTATCTAATGTCTTAACACCATACTTGCTTCTCAGATTATAGATTTCTACTGTACCACCTCTTGATTTTCACATACCAGATTATCGTGTTGCAACTATGCATAAGTGATGACTGCACTTCTTACATTTTCAAAGACAAATTTTACATACTCCGTTTCATGCATATCTTTGTTTTTGGATGAAGTGACAATACAAATCAATAGGTAAAGATAATTTTACATAGTCAGAACACAATTCAAAGGGTATATTGCGTATTCTCTCTTCTTGCTTCTGTGTTGGTTCGGGATCTTGAAGGCCACTTAAAGAACCCGCTCTATTTGCTTTTAAGTAACAGCCTGCTGGACCAAGTTATCTCAAGTTGAGCCTGGCCCCAGGCTGGGCTCAACTTGTGATAACCTCAAGATTGCCTCAAGATAGGGCATAAAGTGTGCTATATTGGAGGTGATGGAGGATATCTAGGTGGTGGTGTGAGAGAATAAGAAATCCTCCATTTAGGATACAATTATCAGGAAGTTGACAGTAGAGACATCCAGCTGGTTCTCTCTTGTGCTTGAGTGAAATCTTAGTGGTGTGACTCCCAGGTGAGGGATGTAGACAGGGATGTTTTATCTTGGAATGCTCATAATATGTTAAAGGTGGGTTTACCTGGGGGGTTGGACAGGGAATAAGGCGGTCTGGTAATACCCAAGCTAAGCTTGGAGCTACTGAGGACCCTCAAGAAAAAGGCATTTTATTTCATTCAATCCTTGATTTTTTCAAGTTCTATATTGAAGAATTTTGTTATTGTAGACCAGGGATAGCATCCTTGATTGCCCTTATATAATAGAACCATGTCTAGTGTGTGAGGTTTTTATGACTGGATAACTATATGCATTATCCTTATGCCTTTCTCAATTAATTTAGGCTTTACTCATCACTGGAGACAACAACTGAGCCACATCGTCTGACTGCATCTCTAGAGTGTGTGGTATGTGTAGCTCGAGCTTTGGTAGGGGGTGGCAAGCACTACCCGGATGGCCAGAGACATGTCATCCCTTTGCTTCTCCAAACATTACCAGGCATTGATCCTAATGACATAAAAAAATGCATGGTAAGAGATTTTGCATATTAATGTTTATGTAGTTATGGTTATTTAACAATGATACACAGAACCTATAATCTATATTACCTTGAATAAAAGCTAATATTTCCTCTCATTAAAATGTAAATATGTTTTAATAAGTAATAATGAATTACAAGAAATAAAAAAAATCTTTAAAAACCTAGTTGAAATTACAGGCCAAAATCTGATTTTCTGGGCAGGTGCTCGGTGGCTCCCTAAAGCTATTTCAGAGATTGCTCCATGCAAATGGGGTCACATCAGATGTAGAAGTTCTATTTGGCCTACTGAGGACCAGAGCCAAAACCTGGCCTTCTCACAGAGGCAGAGAGAGCAAGTGACAAGTTGCCACTACATGGGAAAGCATCCAGTGAAGCTTTATAGACGACTAGATTGTTAACAAGAGACCAAAATCTCAAACTCCAAACAACTCTGCAAATGGTTCACGCAGAACAAGAAACATTAAAAGTTAGAGCAAAACTTATCGTACCAAATGCCATCACCAGGCAGCTTAGCTTCTGCTTGCCACAATATCGGCTATCTGGAATGCTCTCCGATGTCTTAACCTTCTGCTGCCAGAATTATACAGGGAATATTTTAAGTACAGTATTGCAAAAGATTTAAAAGTTCCTCACATACAGGACCCTGATTCCTGTAAGGTTTGTATCCTCTGGGTTTCAGCTTTGATTCAGCTTCCAATGCAGAAGCTGAAGGTTAGGTTTGCTAGGGATAGGCATTCGTGGCATTGTGATTAGTTAGATGCCCTAGAGTTGGTTTCTATGGTGTTTAGGGACCTGGTATTGGTGATCTCCACCTGGACTATGTTTGCGTCCCACTCTTCCTTACCCTGTGGGTGCGGTTCTCTCTACTTCCTGTTTTCTCCCCTCCTCTTCTGGTTCCATCTCCGGAGCACTGAGGTTTTCAGAGTTGGGGTAGGGCTTAGCTCTGGGTGTAGTTCCACATTCTCCAGGGGTAGCTCCATCCACATCAATATCGGAGGCAATTGGGCCTTCTGGCCCCGCCAGGGTTTCAAGGCATTTGTCTTCACAACTGCCCCCTCTCCTCTGCTCCGAGCCATCTCGTATGGAGTACACTTTTCTATCTAGGTGTTGGATGAGGATTAGGGTTCTTCCCTGGGTCCTACATTGTAGGCTTCTGTGGCTGAAGGGGGTCCGATAATTTGTATAGGTACCCCCTCAATCCTTTTTGGACCTTGGTTTCCTTTCTGGAAGGTCTTTCTGGTGGATAATTTTTCATGGCCTTCTATGTACGAGTGTAATCATTATGCTGCTTCTCCTCGGGTTGGATTTAAGGTCCATTTTGGTACCTCAGAATTGTCTTATTTCTGAAGGTTCCACCTTCTTACATTTTTTCCATCGGTGGTTCACATAGATTTGTTTCGGGTACATTTTATATAAATCGGGCCCCTTTTTTGTTGAGGGAGCAGGCCCTCTTTTGGAGTACAAGTCTGTCTCAGCTTATTGGCTGTGATGTGATATTTTGGATTCATCATGGCTGGCTGACAACACCCACTTTTTCTTGAGTGCTTTGCAAGGATTCTGTCGGACCAACACATTTGATTAGCGGGAGGTGCGTTTCATCTTTCCAGTAGGTCTTTCGGTTGTGCTTTTTATGCTCCACTTGGGAACCACAAGTTTGCTCTGACACTCCATGAGGATGTAGACAAGTGCCTGCTCCATGGACAGCTGCCTGTACTGTCTGAAGCTCTTGCTGTGAATGGCAATATGGCATGTTTGTGCTTAGCAGTGATCTTGTTGGTTTGGGTCCTCAAGCAAAGGCTCTCTGGGCAGCTCCATGAGGATGTGACTTTGCTCGGTTTTATGTTGGGTATGGAGGCCTTGAAGTCTGCGGTTGCTGCCTTGGCGGCCTTACGTAAGATGTTTACCTCTCTCCTTCGGGAGGTGTTGATGGCATTTTACTTTGCCTGCAAGTTGACACTTGCCTGCAGTGTCAACAGACTGTTGGCCCATTCATTAGATTCAGCGTGGCCTGTTTCCCTTTTGACCACCTCCCATTTCTCACCTCTTCTTTTTCCAGTGGATGCAGTTCCCTTCTCCTGCTGGGCTATTGTCAAGTAGTTGTTTTCTTAGGGTTTTGCCCCCACTCATAGGCAGTCTGGTAGGTTTGGAACTTAACCTGCTGTTGGTTGAGGTAGGCCCTCAGGAGAGTAAAATTCCCAGGCCATTGTTCTTCCTGTTGCAAATCCTTTTTATGTTAGACGTTGCAACTATGAGCCGCAGAAGGTTGGTTCTACTAATGGTTAGGCCCTTTTGTAGTTCATCTCTTTGATTCCATCTTAGGGGGAGTCTGGCTCAGTTTGCCAGCTTCTGATTCCATGATTCGTGAGCCGAAAGGCTCACGAAAGGGACTGACTAACTCCACTGCAGGGCATGGCCTGCAGTGGAGTTAGTCAATCCATCTGCTCTTCCTGGGGGTCAGGGCTTTTGGGTCAGGTATCCTCCTGGCTCTGCATCTGGTCATTGCAGGTTAGTTGACCTTGGGCATGGCCGAGTTTGCAGCCTTTCCTTTCTGTTCTGGTGAAGTCGACTAGCTTTCTGAGGGGTTCGTTGGAAATTGATGCTTGGTTGGTCCGGCCAGGGAATCATTACTATGTGGCACTATTCTGTGCATGGATTACAAAATTACCACACCCAGTAGAACTGATTAGCAATTTGTATAAATGTAGTGTATAGAATGTAGATATATACAATGTATGTATACAGTGTAATAGCAGCAAAAACTGTAAGTTTTATTGTTCAAAGAAAATAATGTGCTCATATTTGTAACATGAATGTATTTGTGCCTACGTTACTTATATTCAACACATTCTCTGATACAAATAACATTATTGACAGCCCAATGCATTGTTGCTTTTGAAAACCAAAAGTACTGTATTGGTGTTCGATTACAGTACCATTCTCGAAAATTCAATTATGTTCTTAAAAAAGTCAATATTATTGTAATAAGGAAAAGTTAAAAGTTTACTCTGCTCCATTGATTAATAATATTTTAAAAATTTCAGGTAACATTCCAGTTCATCTACACATTGGTGACCCTTGTACCTTTTGTAGATTGTTCAGCAGCTGTCGAAGAATATACTGACTTAACAGAAGTGGGTGGTGTAATTCTTCATTGTTTAATAAATTTGCAAAAGGAAAGATAATAAAATATTTTTATATGCCATTTATAGCATAAATATTTGGTAATAGAACTAAGTGTTTAAATAAATTATTTCCCATATCCTAGTTAACATTTATATATGGAATAAATTTGCCTTTTAACAGATTGAGCAAGAGGTGTGTTTGCAGACAGCAGGATTTGAAGACTTTGTGCTTCAGTTCATGGACCGCTGTTTTGCTCTCATTGAGAACTCGACCCTTGAGCAAATAACTCGGTTGGACAGAGAGACGGAAAAAATGAACAGAGAAGAAAACATGCTGGAAATGGGACTCTCTTCAACCTTCTCGGCTATACTTACTCAGGCACATCCACAGATATACCAAGTGAGCAGCTCAAACATGTTCAAACAAATTACTGTTTACAGTAATATACTAAAGAATACCGGGAAGACGACCAAGGTTTAACGTGCTAATGAAGCTTATACCCTTTAGGTCCTGGATGTTTCCAGATAAGTATTGCCCATCCTTTGGACTTTGAAATGTTCTCAAAGAGGCAATCAAAACTGAGCCACACACACGAACTATTTGGTTAGAATTAAATAAAAAAACTAAAAAATATATAATTGGAGATATATATGGCCACCAAACTTAGACAGAGGAAGCAAAGCATGTATTGGATGAAATATCTAGAGCATCTAGGTCAAACAGTGACGTGGTGACGTCATGCTCATTTTCATTTGGGGGTTCTGTCCACTAGTTCGGCTTTCGGTAGCAATTTCTTAACCAGAATAGTGCTTTGTTTTTGGGACACTTACCTTTCGGATTCGTAGTCCTGAGGTTCCGGGTTTGATCCCCGGTGGAAGTGGAGACAAAGTGGCAAAATGTTTTTCGCCTTGATGCCCCTGTTACTTAGCAGTAAATAGGTACCTGGGAGTTAGACAGCTGTTACGGGCTGCTTCCTGGGGGTGGAGGCCTGGTCGAGGACCGGGCCGCGGGGACACTAAGCCCCGATATCGTCTCAAGATAACCTCAAGATACCCTTTGGAAAATTATTTACGAATATCCGAAAGGGAATAGGTCTAAGTACAGAAACCTTTGGGACTGTTGATGACTTCATGCCATACCGAGATCTCATCCCTCACCCTTACACTCTGTGTCTTGCTTAATCTTTGTCACCTGGTTGTAGAATTCTATTAAACTTATGAGGCAAGATTTGCCATCCCTGAACCCATGTTGGTGGTGTGTCACGAAGTCCTTTCTCACCAGATGTGCTACCAGGCTTTTTCTCATGATAATCTCTATCACCTTGCATGGTATACATGTTAGGGACACTGGCCTGTAGTTCAGTGCCACTTGCCTGTCGCCCTTTTTGTATATTGGGGTTACATTAGCTGTCTTCCATGTTTCTGGCAGGTCTTCCATCTCCAGTGACTTTCCTTCTTGAGGTTATCTTGAAATGATTTTGGAGCTTAGTTTCCCCTCTGCCCGGTCCTCGACCAGGCCTCCTTTTTGTTACACACTCGCAGGAAGCAGCCCTTAGTGGCTGTCTAACTTTCAGGAACCTATTTTACTGCTAGTTAACAGGGGTATCAGGCCACACTAGAAAGTAAAGGGACGACGACGTTTCGTCCTGTCCTGGACCATTTTCAAGTCGATTCACTTTCTAGTGTGTGGTCTGGTCAATATACTTTAGCCACGTTATTGTGACTCATCGCCTGCACAGGAGGTATCAGGGTGAAAGAAACTTTGCCCATTTGTTTCTGCCTCCACCAGGGATCGAACCCGGGACCTCAGGACTATGAATCTGAGGCTCTGTCCACTCAGCTGTCAGGTCCCAGGCAGACTTAATATACATCATGGAAAGTGGCATGCAAAGTGCTTCTGTACTTCACACACTTTCAGTACTCTTTCAATAATTGTGAAATTTTTACATTTAGGTCTACATGTATTTACATGTATTTTTTGCATGTAGGTCTACCCTAGTCCTGTTTAGGGAAATTTTAAAATTGCATGTAGGTCTACCCTAGTCCTGTTTAGGGAAATTTGAAAATCTTCAATACCAATCTTCAATTTCATGAAATTTTACACACACATTTGTCACATGGTACTTTACAAAGCTTGGGGGTGAGATTGAGTTTGTTAATTACAATGACTGCATGTATTTGGTATGATGAGCTAATTAATATTTCCCCCAGGCTGCTCTCCAGCGTTTACAGACGTTCATCAAAGGAAAGATGATAGAAATTCATGTTGCAGGCAAATTTGCTGCAAACATGTGTCGTTCAGCAGTCAAAGTAAGTGCTGTAGTGAGATGGGATTTCATTCTCCTCCCTCCCCCTCCCAAACCTAAATACCCATCTGTGGTAGAAGATTTTACTTGTTATATGAAAAATGAAAGCTAGGCAGCTACTATTTTTAACCATACACTTAATTGTAACATCTTGATATTTGGTTGGTAAACCTTGCAATTGTTAAAGTGTCTTACTGTTTTGTGTGGCTTTCAGATAAATCCTTCAGAGGCACTAAAAGCATTTGTCCCAGGAGTGTGTCGTTTATTATTGGCTTTGACTGATAATGAAGAAGTACAAAAAGAGGAACATTTGGACGATGAACTTCTATTTAATCTTCTCTTACTGTCTGAGGTATGATTGTTTTTTATTGATTTCATATTCCTTTGCTACCACATGAAATTAAATTTAAGGTAAATGGCCTCCTTGGAGTCGAATCCAGTACAGTACAACCTCAATTCAACGTACCCCGATTCGCCACATCTCCGGCTGGGTTGCACACTTTTCTGGCCAGATTTACTCACCCGGTTCGGCGTACTCTGGTTCGCTGAAGTGGAGGATGTGCAGATTAGCTTACGATGTTGGGACAGAGTTCATAGACTGGTGGAAAACTTAACCATTCTATCACAGGTTACAATTAATAATTCCTTCATATGGCATGTTGGATCTCACAAGTGAACCACACAACTAGTGAACCATATGAACCAAACACCAGCCAGAATGGTCCACACAAGTGAACGACTGTCTTCCCCATGATTTTCGTTCAATGATTTGGGGCACATGTATCTTTGTAGATTAATTTAAAGGCTGAGGCATGAATAGCTAGCTAATGTGTTGAAATCTTCTTGCATACATTTTCTGTGATGAAACAAGATGAGTGAGAGTGGACAGATAAGGGAATACTCTACTGTAAACCTCACTTTACAGTGAGGTTTCACTCACTTTCGTCTGTGTCATCATAGTTCAGTGATCCCATGACTTTGAAAGTTTCAGATTCATAGTTTCTAAAACCGTGCTTTAATAGCTTTTTATTATCCTAAATAAATAAAACCAAATAAAACCAAAAATATACTGTAATATGATAGACATCTGCTATTTGAGAAATTATTTATTTGGCACAACTACTCCAGCACGAGTTGACGAGTCAAATCCGTGTGCACACAGCACCATGCGTGTTTCGTTTGATTTCGTCCCCACATTTCAGTGACCTACAGCTTCGAAATAATAAAATTAATAAATCGGTTCTAAAATAAGTTTTTTTATAGCACTTATTATTGTAATAATGTTGCCAAACTAAGTATATAACCCAAAATATATATAATTTGATATAAACCCAATATTTGAGAAAAATTTGTTACTGGATCTGGCTTAACCACTGTATTGCGCAACGCGTCTTGAGGCGCTCAGCGGGTGGTGCGCAATACGCGTCCAAAATCTCTTAAGTATAGCGTACTATTCAAAACTGGCACACAGTGTCTAGGGTACGAAATGGATGCCTGAAGGCTCCAGTGATTGTTCGCCATTTTGAAAAAAAAAAATCCCAGCATGCTCCAGGGCCATGGGGAGCCTCAGGTTCAAGGGAGCAACCATGTCTGACACATCGTCTATGAGCTCCTGGTCCACGGTCAGCCATGGTCCAGGAAAACGACTCTCTGAGGACGAGATATGTGACATATTGAATGATGGAGCGATGGATGATGATTTAGACTACGATCCAGAAAAAGACCTAACACAGAGGTCTGACACGAGTGAGGTGGAGATGGTCTTGAGTGTGAGTGTATGCGCACTGTACCCGGCCTGCCTCGCCGCCCTGGGTCAACACTGCTAGTCTTCACCACTGTGTGTGTGTGTCCTCTGATGTGGGTTTATTTAGTCATAGTACAGGTGATGAATCATTCTTGGGCTTCAGTGACATAGGTTTCGATACAAGCAGTGTTGACAAACAGAGTACGAGAAGCAATGGTGTTACTTGGTGAGGTTTTGCTGCCCCAGCAACACACCGAGGCAAGCGGCAGCGTGTCATGCGGCCAGAGGACAATGACGACAGTGTTCTCTCGACATCAGATGTTCATGGTAGGCCTACACTATGCAGAACACTCATCTCCTGGCATACCTATACACAGCTCTAGCACAGGATGACAGAGCTGTGTTTTTGGTGCTCATGGTGTTGGCCGTGGTGTTGGCACCAAAGCCAAACCCACACGTGTACTTGTGTGGGAGGATTGTGAGACTTTAGTCCCACAAATTCCAACATTTGATGATACCGATGTTGGTGCGACTCCGTTATTTCCCTATACAGGTGATGATATGGCTGAAATTGACTATTTTAAGGCATATTTTGATACGGAACTCATGGACCATCTCATTTCAGAGACGAGCAGATATGCTCACAGCCTCATTGACTCCGGCATTTTATGTCTCGCATGAGACGATGGAAAGTCACGACAAATGAGGAAATGTATGTGTTTTTAGTGTTGAGCACGATGATGAAACATTCTGAAAAACACGTGATCCAGGATTATTTGAGCAAAGACAGCCTTGTTCCATCCCCCATGTTCAACAGGTACATGTCATGTGATAGGTTCCTGCTGATTCTCAGGTGCCTGCACTTTGAGAACAATGATAATGAAGACAGACAAAACAGACTTTGGAAGGTGCGGAAGATTTTTAGTGATACGAGAGGAAAGTTCCGTGACTATTTTGTAGGTACATGTACCTTGGTACGAAATACCATCCAGGTAAATAAGGAAAGGAAAAAGGAGACCAGAAGGTATCTGCACAATAAGTGGAAGGCAACTACAGATATGAAAGAGAGAGAGATTGGGGAGTGGATATAGTTCCAATACTAACACCAGAGGCACACACAAACAGGATAACATCAGCATATGCCAAGTGTTAGTGTCACTTTTTGTGGTATTGTAACACTTGGTGATGACATAGTGAAGCTGCTATCAGTGATAGTAGCTTTCAGGAACCCATCGGGGCTAAACCAGAAATTGCCATTTCATTACATTCAGTGATCCATTTGTATATGACTTCATTTAGACTACTTCCTGGAATTCTCTAATAATACAATATTCGTCACTTTTTCCATTTCAGAAGCAATAGATTAGTCACAGAGCAAGATGATTGGAGTTTAGTTTTTTAAGGTATTCGAATCACTAATGCATTTGGTTTTCATCAGTTTGTCTGGTAACTTAAATACAAGGACAATAACAAAGTGTTGGATTTACATGTGTTATCAGCACTTGTCATATTATTTTGTTGCACTTGTGGTCTTTAGTGGAATTTTTCTCGGGGTTGGGTTCATCTCGAATTGGCAGTCTTCTCGTGCCTTGTAGAGAGAGCCAGATTCTAGTTGTGGCCCTCATAGGCATGTGCTAGTCTCAGAAGCCTAATGCAGCCCTCATAGGCATGGGCAAATCTTGGAAGCCTAATGCAACCCTCATAGGCTACCCTCAGAAGCCTAATGCAGCCCTCATAGGCATGGGCTAGTCATAGAAGCCTAATGCAGCCCTCATAGGCATGGGCTAGTCTTAGAAGCCTAATGCAGCCCTCATAGGCATGGGCTAGTCTTAGAAGCCTAATGCAGCCCTCATAGGCTACCCTCGGAAGCCTAATGCAGCCCTCGTAGGCATGGGCTATGAGGCTAGTCTCAGAAGCCTAATGCTTCCTAATGCTCTCTTAGGCTTGGTGGTGCCACCCTTCAGTGGAAAAAGGCATTTCATTACATTCATTGCTTGATTTATTGTATTGTTAATTTTTTTGTATTCACACTCCCTCTTGTATATCAACAACATTTCATTTCTGTTTTGTTTGTTATTCATGATATCATTCTTGTCTGCATTGTTTTAGGACAAATTTTTATATAATTATTTTTTAAATTTCTCTTCCATTACTCTCATGTTTCATTTGCTCCTCTAACATTCCATTTTGCTCCTTGTGTTTCTTAGCAATAAGATTTTAGTGTTTCAGGTGCATATGTTGAAACTAATTTTCCACTCTGGTTGCAGCTTGTGCGTTGCAGTGGTACTTTCTTGATAAAGTATGTGCCACAAATAACGCAGGTACTGACTCGGACACTACACCTCAAAAGTCGAGAAGGATACCACCTTGCTGGCTCAGTCTTGCGGTACCTTTTGAAATATCTTGGCATCACTATGCCTTCAGAGTACCGGTCAATGTCACAAACATGGGATGTGCCAATTGCGGATTCCCTTCCAATAAGGGTAAATTGCTTTTTGTTGCCAAGTGGTTTATTGCAGTTGTAATGTGTGGAATATTAATAATAATCAAATATCTTTAATTAAACAATAAATGAAATTATATTTAATTGTATAAGTAACAATGTAAGTTAATGATATATTGGCCATTATACATTGGCCTTTAGTTACAATTGTCAGAATCGTGGGATTTACAAGAAGAGTTGTTAGATCTGACACTCGGATATATCCAAGTTGCCATATAAATTAGTTGTTAAATCTTTTATGTTTGATCGGGAATTTAATCAAAGTAGTAGTTATAATCTTTAGAAAAAGAAATGTCACACCATTATGGTATGTCTAAATTTCCCACAGTTACACATCACACTTATTCCTAAGATTTTTTTCAACATCATTAAGTTATGAAAATCATTTTAAAACAATGGAATGACTTAAACTTGCTATCTGGTGATTCCCAGACGCCTGCCTTAACCGACTCGGCCACGGTGGTACAAAAGTTGACCAACCCAGAACTCTACCGAGTTCTCTGGGAGGTTCTGAGGCCTCCAGAACCTCCCAGAGACCAGTCAACCCTGTAAAACCCTTGTTGGGCCCCAGTTTGGGGCCTCCAGAACTTCCCAGAGAACTTGGTCGAGTTCTGGGTTGGTCAGCTTTTGAACCACCGTGACCGAGTCGGTTAAGGCAGGCGTATGGGAATCACCAGAGAGCGAGTTCAAGTCACTCCATTGCATCAAAATGATTTTAATTGATACCTCATGCCATTGTGATTTCATTGTGATAATAGTTATATTTTGTACATGGGAACTGTTTATGCAAGTGATATAATAGTGTATACAGTATTAGTTTATTTAAATGATAAGCCGGATATAAATTTCTATGTATTACACATACAATGTGTAATATAATGCAATTACATTGCATGTGTAATGCAATGTAATTATTTTGCAAAGATTCTTATTTTGCAAAGATTATAGAGAAGGCATGACACTACAAGCATACCTCTCATCTTGTAATTACTCTGATAATTACACACACTCTTATATTTACATTTTAGCATTTTACATAATTCATATATTTTTTTCTGATTTCACATTGTATGACGTTGTTAACTCTAATAATATAAAACAAAATTGTTTTTTTCTAACAGCACTGGGGAGAAGCTGGTGATATATATAATCTTGGTCTTACATGGGTGGAGCCTGGTGATGCTGAGGAAGCTGCAATGACGACTCTTGTTCGTACCTTCCTAACTCCTGAACTAACTCTTTTACATCAAGTAGCTAAAGGAGAAAAGGAGGTATCGAGGTTAGTTATTCTGCTGTCTATAAGTAGTACTGTAACTTGTTTTGCTTTCAGCTCTCAAAATCATTTATTGCTTGATATTTGATCTAGAAAGGGACCTTTTTGTAATGTTAGCATCTCTACTCTTCTATTTCTGAACTATCATTATTTTCTCTGCTAATTCTTCTGTGCTGCCTTCTTTTCTAAGGCTAGGCTTATAAGGATGAATATAATATTTATCTGAATTGGGAAGGTCCTGTTATGATAACCAAACCACACACTAGAAATAAGAGACAACGTTTCGGTCCATCCTGGACCGTTATCAAGTCAATTGTGATAAGACAAGGGAGGCAAGGGTATAAGTAAGGCAAGAGGTGAGGAGACAGAAATCTTAGAGGAAGAAAAGAGCAAGGCAAAACGTACGGAAGGTAAGGTGTAATAAAGGGTGTAATAATAGGAGTAAGAATGGGAATGTGAGAGAAACAAGAAAAAGAAAAAAAAGATGTTATGTTAGGCTTATGTTAGGTCATGTATGTTAGAAAGTTTAGAACATTTGAGTGTGTACTGTGAAAGGGAAGAGTCAACATCAACAAAACCAGGACTCAGGTTCGTGTTGGGTAGGTTGTGTATCGGAGCCGATTCGACAAGACGGCATCTGTGTAGAGTAGAGGCAGGAAAGATTATTTTAGAGGAAGACCAATCAGTAGGATGACCACAGTCCCTTACATGACAGAAGAGAGCATTGTTAGTGTCTGCAGACTTTTAACACTTCTTGTGAGTTCCTTAAGTCTGTCATTAAGTGTACGGCCAGTTTCCCCAAAGTATTGGAGAGGACAAGACGAACAGGAAATAGAGTTAGACACCAGCAGCATTAGAAGCGGGTAAAGTGTGAGCCAGATTACTACAAAGAGTGTTAGTTTGTCGAAAGGTGAGCTTTATGTCAAGAGGAAGAAAGGTATTAGTAAGAATTTTGAGTTCAGATGTGAAGGGAAGGCAGTGCACAGTGCTAAAATTTCTGGAAGCAGGTTTAGGATGAAAGAAATTACATTTAGCTTGAGAATAGGCACAGTTGATAAAATGTAATGGGTAACCAAGTCGAGATAAAGACTTGTAGATAAAGAAAATTTCAGAATCTAGGAACTGAGGGTCACTGATGCGTAGAGCGCGGAGGAAGAGAGACGAGGACACTTTTTTTAACAGAAAGAGGATGGTAGGAAAAGAAGTGAATGTACATGCCACTATGCATGGGTTTGCGGTAGACAAAAAACGCGGACACAGCTGTGAACGTGAATATCAAGAAAAGGAAGGAGGGAATTAGATTCTCATTCAACTTTAAAATAGATAGGAGCCAGACTGTTAAGAGAGGAGAGGAAAGGCTGGAAAAGACTAAGGTGATGAGGCCATAAAGCAAAAATGTAATAAACATAGCAAAGTCAGATATGTTGAGTCTCGTTATGACTTAAGGCTGAGAACCCGGTTTTGGTGGGGATGATGATGATATAGATTCAGCTACTCAGAACAAGTTCCAAGTAGCATGGGCTATGGTGAGCCCGTAACTTACCTGGCACAGGAGCGAGGCAAATAGCACGGGCTATGGTGAGCCCGTAGTGGACTTACCTGGCACAGGAGCGGTGCTGTGGTTTGCTATTCGATTGATTGATAATGATTAAGCCACCCAAGAGTACTTTGCTATTCGATTGATTGAATGATAAAGATTAAGCCTCCCAAAAGGTGGCACGGGCATGAATAGCCCGTAAGTGGTGGTCCTTTTGAGCCATTACCAGTATCAAGAGCTGATACTGGAGATCTGTGGAGGTGCGAGTGCACCCTGTGTGACGAGAGATGTCTCCCGTGTTTGGTGGGGAGTTGTCATCTGTTGGCATTTTGGTGGTTCACGTGATGACAAGTTAACTTGGTACGGCTTGCGAGTGCTTCTAAGGTAACTATTTATAGTCGTTGCAGGCTGGACTGAGGGTTTCTCCAGTGCCTCCCTAGCACCATTATGATTCAGCAAGTCCACTGATGAAGATACAGTACCTGCTGCACTGGTGCAGAATGTCCATGGAGACAAAAAAGCATGAAAATGTAACAGCTTGGAAATATTTCATCTGGGAGGGCTTTTATGTGGCTCCCTGTTGATATTTGGTTACCTATTGAATCTCTCTAGGCCCTTGCAGGTCCTTAATAACCTACCAGAAAACAGAGGCCAACAGTTCACCTCACCGAAGAACAGAGGATATTGTATAACTGATGAAATAGCCACCAGAAAGATTGAACAAGACAAAACAGACAACAGTAAGGCAAAAGTGAACAAAACAAAGAGATAACCAACAGTTAAGTCTTTTCACTGCTTGTTTCACCTCCCCATTTTCTCTTCTTTTCCACGAGGAAGCTGTTTTATCGGCTTTGACCATTGTTTTCCAGTCTCGGTCAAGTCTTGTTGCAGCCGAATTCTGTCCCTGTGGCTTGTGGGTGGACGTTCAGGGTTTGGGCCTTGTATTTTGTTGATCAGGGTAGACATCTAGAAGTGCCAAATTCCTGCTTTTGCTACTTCTTGTCGGCTCTATTCTTGTGTCATGGATTGGGGGTTCTCAAGGTTTTTCCACTGGCCCATTTTTGTACACCCCCTTTGATGGCAATTTGGGGAGGAATTTTGTACCTTTTTATGAGTTTGTGGACCTACAATGCCTGGACCTTCTTGGTTGTGTCTTGAAGCCTACAGTGGAGGTGGTCCTTAACCCCTACTTTGATATCAGAGGTTCTGAGCCAGCAGTCTACCCAGAGATCCTTTTGGTCATTGCAGGTGGTAAAGTTAGTGCCCGATCTGTGGTTAGTGTGTGTTCCGTGTCCAGCCCCCAAGTGGGTCTCGCTGGACCTACCTACCTTATATGATTCTTGTAACTCTAGCTCAACTGTTTCTATTTCCTTACATAGCCTTCTTTATCATTTTTGGGATAGAGTTGGGCATTTAAGATTTTCTACAGTTTGTTTTCGTTACCTATGGAGGGAATACCTTGCTCCATTTGCAGCTCTGCTGCCATCTTGTGCTGGATTGGCCCCTAGTGATTTAGTGGATACTCGAGCAGCTGTGCAGGGACCCTGAACTTTGTCTGCATGTTTTTCCAGTTGGGCAGTGTGTGGCTCTGGGGTGGGGGAAGGGGGCTGATCTGTGTTCTCCGGTTCCACTTGTTTCACTTCGTGCGACTGTTGGGTTTGAGACCTGATCGCCTTTCGTTGGGTGTTGCTTTACCAGCTTCCTTTTTGTGGTTTTCGGGATTTAGTTCTGTGGCGCTATTCTTTGACATCACTCGATGTGTTTACAGATACATTAGCTCTGGGCTGGAGCTTCGTGACCAACACTCGCCAGGTTGCCCAGAGTTGTTGGTTGGATCCATTACATCGAGCGCACAGTATGGAGAGCAAGTTTATGGCCATGTGGCAGGCCCTGAGGAGTTGACTTCCTTCATGCTCCATACTCTTAACTTCATTCGAACTGCTCCCCAGTTGTTCTTTGCCTGAACCTTGAAAGGGGGGGGGGGTCCCTTCATTACATCACTCTGTGGAGCTGAAGGCTGTTTGTAGCTTGACTTCTAGAGTCTCTGAGTTTGGTTTTCTGCAGCATTGACATTTGAGTGTGTGTGTGTGTGCGCAACATTCTCGCAGGTGGGCTCTCTCATTGCCATTCTGTCTCCAGGGAGTGGTCCTACGACAGTGTGTCATTCCGGTTGCATTGCAAACCGCTCACACCCCAATGTGGACCTCTTTGCATCGGTGTGGAAGTGTTACCTTCCCTCCTATGATGTGGCTTTGTTCCTCAGTCTCGAATTTCAAGCATTTCTTTTTGCTGGACTGATCGAGATGAGAGTTTATTTACCTCTTGCACCTGGTTCAGCTGTTGCTCCAGGTCCTTGCCAGATTGGAGTCTAACAAGGGTAAGGTGGTCATTCTGGCTTCTTGGCATCTGGCTCAACTTGGCTTTCAGCTCGTTTTCCTCATTGTCCAAACCCAGGCGTTTTTTCGAAGCTCCGCCTTTTTCAGGAGATTAGTTCTCTGATGTGAAAAGGGGAAATGTGAATATGGACAATAACCTGGATTTAGATACATGGCTTTAGAATTCAGCCTGTTGAAATTAAATGTTTAAAATATTCCTGTTTTAGGTATCTTGCATAGATTCACAAATTTTGCGTGTTGAATTTTGTTCTAAGTAAATTGGTTAGGAAGGTAAAAACCTGCATTGTACACAATAACATTTTGCTTTTTAGTCCACTTCTTATTGGAATTTTGTATTTCCTAACAGAGAGGTGTTACAACAAAGCCTGGCAATTACTTTGGACATATTATTGGGAGCTGGTGTTGCTCTGCCTCACTGGGATGAAGAACCTATCACATTGTAAGTACAGTATATAAATAAATTATATATAAACTATTGCAGAATTACATCTGTGTAGTTTATAGATTAGAGGCGTAAAACCTGGTTGGGAGGGAGACAGGGAGCCACTGTGGCTCATCCAGGTGGTGGTGTTTCATTAGCTTCAACTCTGGGTTTCTGAAGGGAGCCTCACAGTGGGTCCCCTGAAGCTAACTAACCACAGAGAACAAAAACAGAACTTATGGGGTAAGAGAGGCAGCTTGCACTAAGATAAAGGCTTAGCCTAAGAATCCAGGCTGGGAGACGTGGCCTAATGCAATGCGATACCGACTAGGACCAAGAATGTTAACCAAATACTGGGCCACCAGAATTTGTGCCAAAACCCCTAAGCTCAAATATCAGCCCTAGACATTAATTTTTTTGGCTGATTTTTTTTTCTCTGATTTCAAACTTTATTTTCTTTGTCTCTTTAGATTGTTTTGATGATTAGGGACCATATTAGTGCTTTTTCACTTATATAAAGAATACCCTAAATATATCTCCCTAAATCAATATATATATATATTATAATTATCCCTATATTTTTTTTGGGGGGGGGGTATTTTTTCTTGACTTCATTTCAACACATTGATTGACCTACAACTTTCACATATTCAAATACGAATGCCAAACAATGTTTATTAAAATATACAATTAAATTAATGAATTAAAACTACCTTTATTCATTGTTGATAACTTCAACTTCAATTACTGTATCTCTGAAAACAGAGTTTCAGCTTTGAGTGGTTTCTAATATTCCAGTTATTAACCGATTCTCACTATTTTGACATTGTGTGCTCTGCTGTCTGTTCTACAATCCCATCAGAATGGATTTTTCATAAACTTTATACATTTGGAGTTATAATTTTTGGGGTCTAAATTTGCAGCATACATACAGTATTTCAAATGTCCTATTGATGATTTTTTTTAAGGTAAAATATATTAAAAACCTACATTCTAATTTAATGAAAATCATCTGCTATTCTCAGAGAATAATAACATTAAATGAACAGTTAATGATAGTTCATATTTTTTATTCTAAATTGAAAATTTGAGGTTTTCAATATTCAGTTTTAAAATTAATTTTGATTCTCTGGTTTTTCAAGTTACGCTGATTTAGACAAAGTTGGAGCATTTGCCTAGTTGATTATGCAACAAAATTTGGAAAGTATTTGTGCAAGTTTTAAAAACTTATCTTAAAATATTTTTGTCAAATCATATATGTATGTATTGCACGGTCTAAGGGTTAATAATGTTTAACCAGTTATGCCTAATATAAAGGATGAATGATATAATGAATGAATGAATAGTATAATGGATGAAATAATCATTCAATGAATGATAGGATGAATGGATGATGAAATTCAAAATTTGTCGAAATTCAATCATCAGTAATGAAACATCAGTTTCATTACTGCTAGAATTAAAAGAGAATTATAAATTGAAATGTTTTGAATTATGGAAAAATTTAATTTTCCTACATTTGTTGATCATATTCTTTGGGTTTCCATTAGGATTAATATGTTAAATATAAATATATTGTATTTGTATTCAACTGTTATTTTCTGGGGGAGCCCCTTTGGCTCCCCCGTAGCTATCCGGGCTGATATGAATGTATTAGAAACTGGCATCAGTCAAAGCGAATGGAGTTCTAAGCTACCAGGGACCACAAGCCATTTTCTGGCCCCCTCAGAGAGGCACGAAGAGCAATGGTCTATAAAAACCCACTTGTGGTTGGAAGCTTTCTATGTCTGTCATTGACCGGGTCAGGCACCCAGAAAGGTAGGCGCCCCAAAACAACCCGATCTGATTAAAATATTGCTACAGAAAGCCGAACTGTTGAACAGAACTCCCCCAAACGAAAAATGAGCAAACGGGCATGACATCATAACTGTCACTCACCTACTCGCCTAATTGTACTCACCTAATTATGCTTGTGGGGGTTGAGCTCTGGCTCTTTGGTCCCGCCTCTTAACCGTCAATCAACTGGTGTATCTTCACCACATCACTTCCTAGTGCATTCCATTTACTGACTACTAACACTGAAAAAGTTCTTTCTAATATGTCTGTGACTCATTTGGGTACTCGGCTTCCACCTGTCCCCCTTGTGTGTGCGCCACCCGTGTTAAATAATCCATCGTTGTCCACCCTGTCAATTTCCCTTAGAATTTTGTACATGGTGATCATGTCTTCCCTAGCTCTTCTGTCTTCCAGCAATGTGAGGTGCAGTTCACGTAGTCTGTCCTCATAACTCATGCCTCTTAGTTCTGGGACTAGCCTAGTGGCATACCTCTGAACTTTTTCTAGCCTCGTCTTGTGCTTGACTAGATACGGGCTCCATGCTGGGGCTGCATACTCCAGGATTGGCCTTACATATGTAGTATACAAGGTTCTGAAGGATTCTTTACACAGGTTTCTGAAAGCAGTTCTGATGTTAGCCAGCCTCACATAGGCTGCTGATGTTATTCTTTTGATGTGGGCTTCAGGAGACAGGTTTGGCATGACATCAACTCCTAGATCTTTCTCTCTCTCCGTTTCGTTAAGGACTTCATTTCCCATTCGGTATCCAGTGACTGGCCTCTTAGTTCCTCCTCCTAGTTTCATTACCTTACATTTACTTGGGTTGAACTTTAGTAGCCATTTGTTGGACCATTCCTTCAGTTTGTCTAGGTCTTCTTGTAGCCTCATACTCTCCTCCTCTGTCTTGATCCTCCTCATAATTTTTGCATCATCAGCAAACATCGAGAGGAAGGAATCAATTCCTTCTGGGAGGTCATTTACGTATATCAGAAACAGTATTGGTCCAAGGACTGATCCCTGTAAGACTCCACTGGTGACTCCCAGCCACTCCGAGGCCTCACCTCTCACGGTGACTTGCTGTGTCCCGTTGCTTAGGTATTCCCTTATCCAGTGGAGTACCTTCCCTTTCACTCTTGCCTGCATCTCCAGTTTGTGCACTAGTCTCTAATGTGGTACTGTGTCAAAAGCTTTCTGGCAGTCCAGAAATATGCAGTCTGCCTAGCCATCTCTTGCCTGATTTTTGTTGCCTGGTCATAGAACTTAATTAAACCTGTTAGGCATGATTTGCCATCTCTGAACTCATGCTGATGTTGAGTTACAAAGTTCCTCAGTCCCAGATGTTCCACTAGCTTTTTTCACACAATCTTCTCCATCTTGCATGGAATGCAAGTTAGGGACACTAGCCTGTAGTTCAGTGCCTCCTGCCTATCAATCTTCTTGTATATTGGGACTACATTGGCCGTCTTCCAAAATTTTTGGCAGTTCACCTGTTACCAGTGATTTGTTGTACACCATGGAGAGTGGCAGGCACAGAGCTTCTGCTCCTTCCTTTAGAATCCATGGTGAGATTCCATCTGGGCCTATAGCCTTTGTCACATCCAATTCTAGCAGATACTTCCTCACCTCCCCACTGGTAATCACAAACTCCTCTAGTGGTATCTGGTTTGATATTCCCTCTTATCTCTGGGACCTCTCCTTGCTCTGAGGTGAAAACCTCCTGGAATTTCTTATTGAGTTCCTTGCACACTTCCTTGTCGTTTGTAGTGAGTCTTTCTGCCCCTCTCCTCAGTTTCATTACCTGTTCCTTCACTGTTGTTGTTTTCCTCCTGATGTGGCTATGTAGCAGTTTGGGTTGAGTCTTTGCCTTGCTTACTATGTCATTTTCATATTGCCTCTCTACCTCTCTTCTCACCCTGACGTATTCACTGCGCCGCTGTCTGCGCAGTTCCCCCCTTCCCTGGAGGGGGAAGGTTGAGATATCTTGATGATTTCGGGGCTTTAGTGTCCCCGCGGCCCGGTCCTCGACCAGGCCTCCATCCCCAGGAAGCAACCCGTGACAGCTGACTAACACCCAGGTACCTATTTTACTGCTATGTAACAGGGACATAGGGTGAAAGAACTCTGCCCATTGTTTCTTGCCGGCGCCCGGGATCGAACCCGGGACCACAGGATCACAAGTCCAGTGTGCTGTCCGCTCGGCCGACCGGCTCCCTCCTGGGGAGCCGGTCCCCCAGGAGGAGCGAATTTGGGGAAAATTTGGTACCTGGGGAGAGAATTTGAATGCCTCGGTGTTTGTTTGTTCATCCCTGCCCTTTCTCGGGATGTCATAAGAACATAAGAACAAAGGTAACTGCAGAAGGCCTATTGGCCCATACGAGGCAGCTCCTATTCTATAACCACCCAATCCCACTCATATACTTGTCCAACCCGTGCTTGAAACAATCGAGGGACCCCACCTCCACAATGTTACGCGGCAATTGGTTCCACAAATCAACAACAAATGTCGGCCTGGTACAGCTTCACGTGCAGGTTCCCTCCCTTTCGGCTGCCCTAGTTGCCGAGGACTTGTGCGCCCGTGGCCACTTGTCTTTGGTCTTGCGTTTCTTTTCCTTTCTCGAGCTGTCTTCGGACTGGGTTGAGGACATGGAGGCGCTCGGGGTTGATCCTGGGTCTTGTGCACTGGTCTTGGCGGTGCGGACGTCGGCTGCCTTGTTGAAGCTGTTTGCACCGATCCCGCGGGAGGCAGTATCTCTGTTCTTTGCTTCTCGTCTCGCGTGCCGAGGAGCGGTGCTCGCTCAGTCCTTGCAATCAACTTGGGCCCTGACTGTTAGGTTCTCTACGCCTTTTGTCTTTTGCTGTTTACAGTCTGTGGTGGTGCAGTATCTGAAGGCAGCTTCTTCTAGTTGTCATCCCATGTCGGACTTGTTGGTTCACCTGGGGGGCCCCGTGAAGGGTCTTCATGGAAGGGTGTGCCAGGGTTCCTCTCATCGTGGTAGGCCAATTTTACCAGTTTTGGAGTCGGCACGGCCTTCGGAACCGACGACGTCTGATCGGTGCGGTGATTGCTCTGCCTGTAAGTCGGCTTCTCGTGAGGGGTGCCGGCCCTTTCGCGGTTCGTCCCATTGACAGGAAAGGGGAAAGGCTCGATGGGGGAAAGGCTTGCACTGTTTACTTATGCCTGGTACCATGATTTGTGCGGCCTGCAGTGGTGTTGGGTGGCCACTCCTCCTTTGTGGGGGAGGGGGGGTTCAAGGCTAGCAGGGCAGGCCTCTTCTCCTGCACTCTGTCGGGTCATCCTGGAGTCAGTTTGGTTGGGCGTAGTCGAAACTACTTTATCCCTCGGGTGGGTTTTCCCTCCTGTTTCCAGTTCCGAAATGGGTCTAGGTGGACCTGAGGTTTGTTGACTTGCCCCGTCTGAACCCCCTGGGTCTTTTGACCTGCCTTTCGAATGACTATTGTCCCAGGTCCATCTTCTCTTGGAGCTCTGCGCTTGGATGGTGTCCCTGGACCTCCAGGATGCATATTGGCACATCCCGATTCGTCCGGGGTTCAGCGATTGGTTCGGTTTTGTTGTGGGATGTCAGGCTTACTGCTTTCGTTGCCTTCCATTCGGCTTGAATCTGGCACCTCACATGTTCCACGCCTTACCTGGGTCATGGTGGCCCATCTGTCTCTCTTAGGGGGTTCCGATTCTGGCCTACCTCTACAACTGGCTGCTGTGGGCTCCCAGCCAGTCCACGTGTCTGCTCGCCAAGGATTTGGTTCTTAAGCAGCTTGCCGAGTTCAGGTTCTTGGTGAATTGGAGGACACCTCAAAGGGACTTGGGACTTTGACATTCGGGCACAGGGTTTTTTGGAGGTCATACAGGGTCCTGGCTGTTAGCTACCTAGTCAATGTTCCTGGACATGTCGCATTGGGTCGGCAGTTGCAGCCAGTTGTTTCGACTTTGAGTTGAGGAGCGAGTGGCGACCGCCTCCGGGTAAGTCCCCTCTTGTTTTATCTTTGGTTAAGTAGCTGAAGGGAATTTCCCAAAAAAACCAGCATTGAATGTAATGAAACGATATTTTCTGCATGAGACCCGGAGGCTACTTGGCAACCCTCCCTCCCTCCAGTCAGCAGTTTTTCGTGGGTTTTGAAATCCAGCCTCATAACTGAAGGTATGAAGAGGTCTGGGGCTTCCCCTTCCCCCTCCTGGGGAGGAGGGAGCTGCGCAGACAGTAGTGCAGTGATGGTTGAAACGTCATGTTTGTTTGCTCAATTTTCATTTGGGGGAGTTCTGTCAAGCAGTTTGGCTTTCAGAAGCAATATTTTAACCAGATAGGGTTTGTTTTAGGGCGCCTACCTTTCTGGGTGCCTGACCCGGTTGATGGCAGACATAGAATGCTTCCAACCACACATGGGTTTCTATATGCCATTGCTCCTCATGCCTCTCATTCGGGGGCCAGGTTATGGCTTGTGGTCCCCTGTAGGTCTAGAACTCCATTCACTTTGATGCCAGGGTCTAATACATTCATATCGGCCCAGATTTCTCCGGTGAGCCTCCGGGTCTCGCCCAGAAAATGGCGTTTCATTACATTCAACGCTGGTTTTTCATTAAATTGTTATTTTTCAGGATAGATATGGCTGTACGGAAAGATGCCTATGAGTTTATTGTCAGAAAACGAGAGTTGTATGTAACTCTCAACTCTGAACATTTCTCCACAAATGTCCGCAAAGCTGTTGCAGATGTTATTCTGGAGTTAGAGGAGAGATTGCTCTCTCAAGGCTCTGATGATACCAAATCTCTCTGCCGAATAGTAAATGTTAGTACAGTATTCTTTTTTTATTTATAGTTTATATGATAAAATGCTTAATTGTTTAGGTAAAATTAACTGGGTAGTACTATGGCTGTTTTTCTGGAGGGAGCCCCATGTGGCTCCCTGAAGCTATCTTCCTGAGACTGCTGTAGTGCGCCAGCCTCGGTTGCTCCAACAGTACTGTGGCTCTCACACCTGAGAATATTGCCCACGATTTTTTTTTTAAATGGCGTCTGTTTACAAGAGCCCTGAGGAAGCTAACGTGAACCCCGTGTAGCCGCGGGCCATTTGAATCGTGCCTGGCACCCTATGGCGTATATATACGCCATAGGGTGGCTAATACTATTCTGTATTAGCCACTAATACTATTTTGTGGCCAATACTATGGCGTATATATATGCCATGCGCACAGTGGGTCATGTTACTCATGGAGTATATATACGCCATGCACAGTTTAAGGGTTAAAAACTAATAAATAAAATTACATTGAATTCCCACAAGTGTCATTTATCAAGATGTAATGCCACGCTGCCTGGATTACAAGTATTACCATTTTCTGATATGTTTCTTGTAGCTCCTGCAAAGATTGTCCACTTAGAGATCAATCCCATTCAAACATAGTACAGTATAATTGCATACTCGGAGCCTACTGTTTTATATTATTAATATTAGCAATTGTATTAATGGAAGTACCAGTTCTGCAATAGACATTCATCAGTGAATGAAGATATAGTAATTGACTAACAAACTGGTTCAGGCAGTGTGTTTGCGTAGAGCCTGGTAATTTAAGCAATTAAAATGTGTGGGCCTGAACAAGATTTTGTGGCTAATACTGAACACTAGCTTTCAGGGTATGACTGTAATTTAAACTAATTGTATCTATTACTATTTTCAGATATATCATGGACTCTTGTTTTTCCATGGTATCTCTAAAGATGACTTTGATGCAAGGTGGAAGAGCTTCCAATTTATCAAGGATGCATTGGCCAACAAGTTAGCAAGAAATAAACAACACATACGATCGCTTCTTGTGGAACGTGCAGTATTACACCAAGAGAGCCGGATGCTGGAGAACAGTGTGAAGTATATCACCACAACCAGTAGAGCTATCATGTCCAGCCTTCTGCATCTTTCTACAAGTCAATACAGTGAAGTAAAATCGTGTAGCTGTTCTTGTTTGATGAATTTAGGGGGTTGTATGTTTTTTAAATTAAATTTCACACTATTTGTTTTGTGTAAATACATAATGTGTATTTTGCTATATAATACTTGTTGCTTGTTTTATTGAAATTGTGACATATAATGGTACTGGAATCATCGTGTTTTGATATGCACTTGAATTTCTCAAAATGACTTGTTCCTAACATTAAACATTCTGTGGGGAGCCCTGTAGGCTCCCTCAAGCTATCACACTGATTAAGTGCCATACTACTAGGTGTCATCAGTCACACAGTTTTATTGGCCTAAGTGGAACCATGAGCCAAAATCTGGTTCCCTCAGAAAAGAGAAGGGAGCGATGGCTGATGAACATTTTAAATGTAAAGTTGATCATCTTTGCCGCCACCAGGTAAACACCCAGAAAGATAGGTGAATCAAAACAGACTACTGCATAATTTAAAAAGGAGACTGAAGCCATAACATTGCCAAAAGAACTCCCCTCAAAATGAAAACAATCAAAATGTTGTGAAACTTAGTCCCCTTTGCTAGTTTGTCCCCCCCCCCCCCAGATTTATGTCTGGCAAACCTAATTCACTTTGAGGTTATTTGTTCAGTGTGCGTGTGGGGTTCCTAGGTGTTACTTTGTGCAACTAATATTCATAAATGAAATATAAATTAATAAGAGTTTTTTGTTGCATTGCAGGTGCGCAGCAAAAGCCAAAACACCCTGAATCAGGTGTTCCAGTGCTTCCCTTACTCGTACAAACTTACTTTACCTGATCTAATTACCTGCCTTCAAGTCGATCCAATAGAAAATCATGAACAGTTCAAAGGTAAGAGTTTCTGTATCAGAGATCTGTTTTAGAGCTTCATTTGTTCTCTGCTTCTGTTAACCCTCAAACCGCGCATATCATATATAAATGATATCAGTGACAAAACCGAAACCGCGCACATCATTTATATATGATTTCGTGTCTAGCGCTATAATTTAAACTCCCCGCCTGGGATAGGGGCAGCTATAGTACAGCCACGACCGATAGTTGCCAGATGCCACCTAGAAAAAAAATCCAGGCCAACATTCTTGGGTGTCACAGCGTCAGTATTGAGCAAGCCACCAAGGCTGGTGCACGCAGCACGAGCTCACAGCACCGCTGTTCAGCTTGTGACCACAGCATCGCCTACAAATACAATAATATATATGATACTGCTATTATTTAGCAGTGATAGTATTACTGAAGCCCCCTGACTGTGATAAAACTGACCAGGATTCTGATAATAGCAGGATTGTGGTGATATTTAGCGCTGTGCTCCATGGAGGGAGGAGTAAGGTTGTGGGAGGGAGGGTTGTGGCATCGTCTTCTGACTGTGTGTGGCCACCATTTATTGACTGCACTCACCATATCAGCTTAGTGGTTCGATATGTTGAACACAAATGTAGATACTTATATATAACGTGTGTATAGTGTTAGATAACAGCGAGAGGAGTAGGTTGGGAGCCGCCATTTTGGTGAGGGAGGTGCGTCGTCTACACGTCTTGGCATGGTGTTTACTGATGGCCACTATGGTCTTTGGGCACCATACCAGCTTATTTGTTCAGGTATGGTGAATAAAACAGGTAGATACTTATATATAATATGTGTATATAGCGTAATAACACCACAAACAATATTGTTGGAGGACAAATATTAGTGCGTCTGGCCTTGAGGGCGGCCGCCGATCAGCTGACTGTGTGAGTAGCTACGTCTTTGTGGCCTTTACTCACCATACAAGCTTAGATGTACAGTTATGGTGAACAAAACATGTAAATACGTATATATAACGTCTGTGTATAGTGAATAAATACAGAAAGAGTATTGTAGGAGGTGAATGAGGGTGAGTGAGGTGGTGTTGAGGGAGGGAGTGGCAGTGAGTGGCTCGCTGGTGTTTGGCGGTCACTCCTCGTTGCTTTTTGACTCACAAGACCAACTTAGTAGTTCGTTATGGTGTACAAAACATGCAAATACTTATATATAACCTGTGTATATAGTGTAACAACAGCAAAACTATTTGTTTATTGTTTTATGAACATAATAATTGAATCACTAATATGAACACCATAATTTTGAGTACAGCGATGGTTCACACATTTTATAATATAAATATACCACAATTCACTGTATGGAATAATATTACTGCAAAAAAAACAGAAAAAATCAATCAGACACATTGAAATAATTAGGTAATAATATATTTGTGGCAACTGCCGTCTGACAGCTCGGGCGGAGTAGACCTCATCTGGCGAAGGCTCTGCCAATGCCCCTTTTTTGCCACACTTCCCTACCCTATTGCGGCTAAAATATGCCAACTACGATTTTTTTGTTATTTTTTCCGTGATCAGGGAACAAAAATGAACACTTCTATAAGACGAAAGAATTTTTTGGAATTTTTTTTTTGTTGCGCCTGTGGGTGTGAATTCCATTTGGGCCCCTAGCGGTTTGAGGGTTAAGTGAAATGTATGTTAGACTAAGATCAAAACAAATGTTGATAAATTTATATACTTGTGAATGCCCAGTTTCTAGTCTTGCACCCCTCAGTACCTCCCATCGGTTTATGTTCATTGTGGTGGCCTGGTTGTTCTGGAAATGGCACTATGATCGCAAGACATGGATGATACCAGACTGAGGCAGGCAGGATCACTTGCAACCTCCTTAATAATGTCTCGCAAAATTGTTGGAAGAAACCCCAGTCCACCGCTCGCTCGAAGGAAATTGGGCATAGACTGCAAGCAAGACCATCTGTGAGCATGTTAAAAAAAAAAACTCAAATGTGGCCTGCACTGAGGACTAAATTCAGAAAATGTATAGAAGCTATCTGCAAGATTTACCATTAGACAGAAATGGAATGAAAAAATATCTGTTCAAACAAAATTTTGAAGTGCAATCAGAGTGGAGACAGATGACTGGTAATGCCTGCAGGAGGATGTGAATATGCAACATTCCAAACTGCTTCAGATTATTTCAATGTAATGTGTGGCTGCCACACCCACACAATCTCAGTGACAACTGGACAGAGACCCAGCCCAGGTCAGATACAGCTGTGAACAGGTGTTATCCCATTCATGCTTTTTTCAGCGGTGGTTGCACCACTTCACAAAGGAGGTAGTAAACAGATGCAAAAAATTATAGATCATAGCTCTAACATCACATGTTATAAAAATCTTTGGAAAAAATGCTACAAACTAAGATCATAAAACACATTGACTTTGTCTACATAACCCTGGGCAACATGAGTTCAGAACAGGGTGTTCCTGCCTCTCACAATTGTTTGACCACTATGACATGGTTTCAGATGCTATGGAAGACAAACAAAACCCCATGATGTAATATACATAGATTTCACAAAAGCTTTAAACAAATGCATGGTGTTATTGCACATAAAATGCCCACAAAGGAATTACTGGCAAAATAGGAAAATTAATCTTTAATTTCCCAATGATCAGAACCCAGAGTGTAATAGTCAACAAAGTAAAATCCGGATCATCCACTGTGAAAAGCTCTGTCCCCTGAGGTACTGTGCTTGCTCCAATAATTTTTTCTCATCCTCATATTAGTTATCTTGAGGTCATCTTAAGATGATTTCGGGGCTTTTTAGTGTCCCCGCGGCCCGGTCCTCGACCAGGCCTCCACCCCCAGGAAGCAGCCCGTGACAGCTGACTAACACCCAGGTACCTATTTTACTGCTAGGTAACAGGGGCACAGGGTGAAAGAAACTCTGCACATTGTTTCTCGCCGGCGCCTGGGATCGAACCCAGAACCACAGGATCACAAGTCCAGCGTGCTGTCCGCTCAGCCGACTGACTCCGATTATAGACAAGAATATAAACTATAGTACAGTAAAAAAACATTTGCAGAGCCCACTAGAATTTTCATGAATAGACAAGAAAGAGGATGTAGCAAACCACTAATCTGATGTTAAATCAGGTTTTTCAATGGGCCACAGTAAACATTTATTGTGGATATGTTCCACCTACTGTGCTATGGAAAAAAAATGAAAATATGAAATGGAAACCACATATAAAATTCAAATGACACTATTCAAAGAAGAAACAATGTAAAAAATCTGGGAGTAATCATGTCGGAAGACCTTACTTTTAAGGAATGCAATAAGTAGCTGTCACAATTGCAAGAAAAATGAAAGGTTGGATAACAAGAACCTTTCAATCAAGAGATACCACACCAATGATGAATGCTTTTTAAGACAATAGTGCTCTTTAGGGTGGAATATTGTTTCTCACTATCAGCCTCATTCAAAGCTGGAGAAATTGCTGACCTCTAGTGGATGCAAAGAGCGTTTATGGCTAAAATTCACTCGATAAAACATCTAATTTATTGGGACTGCTTAAGATTGTTAAATTTGTATTCCCTAGAGCTAGCAGAGAAGATACATAGTAATTTCAACCCATCATCCTGTTTAGATAGTTCTTTCTCAGGGGATCCCCTTGTGGCTTCCTGAAACTACTACACTGATACAGAGCCATACTATTAGGTATGGCCCCCCCCCCCAACAATGTAAACAAATGATAAAAAATTTGTGAAACTAAAACAAGCTAGTTCGCTCCACGTCCTTCCCTCATTTGGGGAGAGGGAGGCAGGCAGGCCGAGTCAGCCGGCTGCTTTACCACCCGTTCTTATGCAGATGTAGAGAGTGTTAGTTACCCTCTCAGTTCGCTCTGGCTTCAGTCTCTTGTCAATTAGCAAAGCCTCAAAAGCCTTTGAGGTTTCTTGTGCACGCTTGTGCTGTGTGAGGTTAGAGGCATTAAATATGCCAAAACTAGAAGACAGAAGAAAGAGGTGATATGATCACGACATACAAAATAGTAACAGGAATTGATAAAATCGATAGGGAAGATTTCCTGAGACCTGGAACTTTAAGAACAAGAGGTCGTAGATTTAAACTAGCTAAACACAGATGCCGAAGAAATATAAGAAAATTCACTTTCGCAAACAGAGTGGTAGATGGTTGGAACAAGTTAGGTGAGGTGGTGGTGGAGGCCAAGACCGTCAGTAGTTTCAAAGCGTTATATGACAGAGTGATGGGAAGACGGGACACCATGAGCGTAGCTCTTGTCCTGTAACTACACTTAGGTAATTATCCTTAAGCCATGGGTCCAATGAAAGCCAGTGGTAAGGTTCAATGTAAGAAAGCACATGTGAAGATGACCATAGAGGAAAAAGAGAGATCATTCATAAACATGAAATGGTATGAGGGTTGTTGATGTAGCGTAGAGGATGTAGACTGTAGAGGTTGTTGATGTAGACTCTTCCTCCTTTATTAAGAAATTGTGTGCAGCTGGAAAGAATTGCAAAGTTTTGCTGAAGAGTGTCACCCAAATCAAGCTGTAGCAGGCCATTGTGTTAACCTTTTTAATGACAATGTGATGTCTCACTTCAGACAAGTGTTACAATGTAGGGAAAAACAAGTGTTGCTAGACAGGTTTTTAGTGAGAAAAACAAGCGGTGAGCCACAAGCAGGTCCTAGTGGTATGCAGGCAAAACATGGGAGAGAGTGTACCCCAGAAAAGTCATCGCTGCCTGATGTTATAATGGAAGGGGACTTCCTTTTCAAAGATTAACACCTCTCCTCCCCTCCTCCTCACAGTCTTCCATACTTCAACAAGTCCTCATTCAAGGTAAGATATACATACTGTATTGTAATGTTATTCGTATAAAATATATTTTTAAGTTAATATTTTTCGGGGTGTGGAATAGATTAATTCAATTTACATTATTTCTTATGGGAAACGAATTTTCGACTTACGACCCGTCTCTGGGAACGGATTAGATTCGTAAGTCAAGGCCCCACTGTATAAGCCTTGACATTGCATGTAAAACATGTCTTTGAAAATGGAAGAAGTGACTTGCGAAACGCTTCCCTAGGAATCGGACCATAAATAAAGTGTGAAAATGAACTTTGGAGAGTTAATTTTTCAACTACCCTCGACAGTGAAGAAAAACGTAAGAAATATTAAGAAGATTCTTGTTAGAATCATTAATCTTACCCTTTCAGTCATATTCAACAATATACGTAGTATACTATACTACAGTGTCTAAACCTCTGGGAGGTTATTGAGATTCCACCTAGAATGGGACTACATTTTAATTATTTCTTCATTTTCTTTGGGAAGTTTCCCCCATCCTCATGAGGGAAATTTGTTAATAATAATGTATGTACAGTATATGTGCATGTATTGTGTGTAGTGAATTGGAATTGAAATGCCATTTTCTGTCTTTATTAGGAAGTCTGTACCTGTTGTTGGGGCGACAAAACAAGTCATTAATGGTACGTCGTGATTGGGAGTCTCTGAACATGGTGTGGCCTGCTTTAATTGCTTCAAAACACTCTGAAAAGCCTTCAATAATTAGACTAATGAATGCCCTCTCAGATGCTGTGTACTACTATATGGAGCTCTTTGCAGTACATCATGAGGTATGTAAAAAATTTTGTGCGATACAAGATTTCTTGAATTACTGAGTAATAGCAAATATATTTAAATTAGAAAAACATTCATTGTAGTTTTTCTATAACATTCCTGTTTATTAAGGATGATGACTAGTTTTAACCCTTAAAACACTCCAGTTGCTATATGCAATTTTTCTGGGGGGGGGGGGTGGGCTGTCGGCTCCCTGGAGCTATCCAGGCTGATTTGGATATAATAGACTTTGGCATCAGTCAATGTGGATGCAGTTCTATCCTTACTGGGGACCACGAGCCAGAACCTGGCCCCTTCAGAGAGGCACGAAGAGCAATGGCCTATAGAAACTCCGGTGTGGTTGGAAGCATTCTGTCTGCTATCAGCCAGGTCAGGCACCCACAAAGGTAAGCATGACATCACTATGTCGCCGTGCCATTTGTCTGCGCAGCTTCCCAGGAGGGGGAGGGGGAGGGGGGAGCCCCAGACCCTCACGCTGGTTATCTACACACCCCAGTTCTTTGGCTGATGTGATTGGCAATAGTCGTGTGACTCTGGCTCCTGTTTTCCTGTCCTCCAGCTCTGTGCCTTGTGGTGTGGTGCTGTTTCTCTGGTGGGGTGTGAGCCAGGAGTATTTTCACAAGTACTCGGGCTGCATGCGCCTAGGGTCACTTTCCCTAGATGCCCTGTATGTGCCTAGGGTCACTTTCCCTAGGTGCCCTGTATGTACTGCCCTTGGGGCTTGGGGGGCCACCTTCCACAAAGTCACCTTGGGATCTACCTCTGCTTGGTCTTTTGCTGCTCAGAGATTGACCACCCTTAATGTGCTGGGGTGTTTTATGCACTCATGTTTGCCTTTGAGAAGGGGTAGTTTGCACTGTTTGGGGGCAGGGTACTGCACAGCTAGTTTTCGTCTCTAATAGCGGCTGGATCTTTTCCGCCTGGGTACGTTGTCCTCTTGCAGGGTTTTTCTTTTACTTTTTTGTTTCCTGCTTATTGGGGGGGGGGATTCTGCCCTTGGGTTTTAGTTACCCCCTATAGTTCTTTGTGGTCCCCTGCTAGGCCCCCCTTGAGTGGGCACATCTTGGTTCAGCTGTAGCAGTTTACTTGGTAGTTTTGGGCGCCGTTCAGCAATACCCTGCCTGAGCTTCCCTTAGCTAGATTACGCGACTAAGGGCCCTGGGAATCTCTGTGGGGCTTTATGGTCCAATGGATGCGACTCCCGAGTCCCCTCTCGCTTCGAGCGAGTTTGAAGGTTGCCCTGTCCTCCTTGTGTCAGGGTGATACTTACTGCTTCTGCCTCCGTCATGCTGCCTGCTGGGTTATCTTAAGGTTATCTAGAGATGATTTCGGGGCTTTTAGTGTCCCCGCGACCCGGTCCTCGACCAGGCCTCCACCCCCAGGAAGCAGCCCGTGACAGCTGACTAACACCCAGGTACCTATTTTACTGCTAGGTAACGGGTATGGGGTGAAAGAAACTCTGCCCATTGTTTCTCACCGGTGCCTGGGATCGAACCCAGGACCACAGGATCACAAGTCCCGCGTGCTGTCCGCTCGGCCGACCGGCTCCCTGGGTCGGTGACACTTTTGAACCAGAGTCTTGCAAATTTTGTTGCTTGTTTGTGACTCTGTACACTCAGTCCACTGATGACTGTTCGGGTGCAGGCAGCTCAGGCATTGCATGCTAGGTTAAGTTGCTGCAACACACTCGGTTGATTGTTGGCCCGGGAGCCCTGAGGCTGCCCCGTTTTGGTTATAGGGACCAAGACTTGGTTGGTAGCTTCGACCTTGGTTTAATCCGTGCCTTCTCGTCCTTCCCCTGCTGTGGTTCATTCTGGTTTTCCCCCCACTGCTTCAGGCTCCGAAGCATCTGCGGGTTTCGGAATCGGGGCAAGATTTAGTTGGGTTGGCGGAGAGGGTAGTCTCGGGGGATGCCCCTTCCGAGGTGGCAACAGAGGCATTCGAGCCTGTTTCTCTGGCCGATGTGTATGGGTCTGACCAGTGGGCCCCTTCCTTAGTGTTTTTCTGGCTGCCCCGACTTTTCTCGAGTCCAGGGCTTTGGGGGGGATGGCTCGGCCCCCTGTCCTCCTGTGGAGGTTCCCGGGGAGGGGGCGACTTAAGGGTCTTGGTCCCCGTTGGATCCCGTTTGGGTTTATATGCCCTCTGGGTGGAGTTTACTGTTCTGAGGCGTGGAGTTTTCTTATCCCCCTACCTCATCTGACTTGGATTGGTGTCGGCCCCTTCCCGGGTTCGGTTCCGTGTCCCTTCGGTCCCGTCCTTCTGGAGGTTTTCGGCTTCCCATTCCCACCTCATGAGGTGCGGGAAACCCCTGCGGATTACCTCCTGCACAACCCGGATTATGCCTCCATATTGGATCCTCCTTCGTTCAGGTTTGGATCTTCGTTTCCTCGCGGGGTTTGTTATGAGGTTCCAGAATCATCCTGGCTAGTGGTCTGCTTGGACTCTGTCTCTTCGGTTTTCTTCTCCTGTCTATCCCTTGCTGTTTGCATAGTCTGCGGTTGGGCAGTATCTGTAGGCGGCTTCTGCTTGATGTTGTCCGAGGTCAGATATATTGGTTCTTTTTTAGTGGGCTCGTATTCCCTATTTTATTCTTCCAGGGTTATTTAGTAGGGTGTTTTATCCTGGTCATTAGAGGATTGATGTGCTTCCCAAGGCTTGCACATTTCTTGGTTGTTGCGTCAGGAGCTGCTGTGAAAGACCACCAAATAAGGCGTTTCACTACATTCAGTGCTGGATCTTTGTTAAGTTACGAAGACCAGTCAGTCTGTTTAATGTTGTTATATTATAAGGTCTGTTTAAGCTAAAAAATGCAGCTGCATTTTAGTTTCTTGGTCATAGTAATTGTTTTCTTTTTCTTTTTTAACAGATTTCACAGGGCGTTTTGAAAGCAGCGGAAGCCCTGTTACACTCAGATGTGCCAAAGGTGAAAGATGCGGATGTTACTGAGGCAGCTATAACTTTAGCCTGTGATCAGTTAAATGAAAGAGGAAATTCCAATCACAAACTTTATAAGACACTCGTTGGAAAAATGGTGACACTTCTTGATTCAGGAGCACTGTAAGTTAATATATATAATTTTATCTAAGTATTTAACTCCAGCTATACGTCAGTGTAATTTCATTTTGTATATTTAACCCTAAAAGTATGGTTATGTTGATCATCTAGTATGATGTGGTAATCATCTCTATCTATAATATCTATATTTTAGTAATATCTATATTACTAAATATAATCTATATTTTGCATCAGTGTTTGAATACCAATGTTGCCTTGCAAAACCTGTACATCCTTCATCTAAGTAAAATAGCTTTTCTGAGGGAGCCCCTCCGGCTCACCGGAGCTTACCAGGCTGATATACTAATGTTAGACTTTGGCATCAGTCATGTGTATGGAGTTCTGTGGGCCTACTGGGGACCACGGCCAGAACTTTGCCCCCTCAGAGGGGCATGGGGAGCAATAGCCTATGGAAACCCCCATGTGGTTGGAAGCATTCTGTGTCTGCCATTGACCAGGTCAGGCACCCAGAAAGGTAAGCGACCCAAAACAAACCCTTATTCTGGTGAATCTTATTCTTTTGCTACCAAAAGCCGAACAAGTGGATAGAACTCCCCTAAAATAAAAAAGCAAACATCCATGACATCACACGTCGCCATGCCGCTATCTGCACAGCTTCCCCCCTCCTTTTGAGGGGCAAGGGGAAGCCCCAGACCCCCGCACCGGCTATTCACCCGTCAGTTCTAAGGCTGATATTAGAGGCTGAGGTAGTGTGCTCTGGCTCCAGTGGTTGTTTCAGCACTGTACCTAGTGTGTGGTGACTGTCTTCTAAGTGGTGCGTGAGCCAGGAGTGATTCTCCAGTACTCGGGCTGCATGCGCCTAGGGTTTCCTTCTCTAAGTACCCTGTAAGTACTGCCATTGAGGCTTGGACAGTGGCATATCACACGTCTTGCACTTAGTGTGTGGCCCTCCTTTTACCAGACAATCTGCACACACGACACCTCGGACTATCTTTACTTGGGTGTGGGACAAGTTTCTGTTCAGATGTTCTGGATTATCCACAATACAGGGTTTTGTCCAAGCAGAAGCACCACTAGGGATAATCAGTCTCTTGTCTTCTGACTCAGACGATGAAGGTACAGCTACAGGTACAGGTAAAGTGAATAGTGGGCGCCTCACACCTGATGGTCCGGGTGTTGCAACATTGGCTCCAGCGGCATTGACATCAGCAGCATGTGGGATGTCATCATTTTCCAGAGGCCATTTACTAGGGTTAAAGAACAGTAGTGCCGAAATGACTTGTTTATGGAAATGGAGTAATGTGAGTTTCCTTCTATCTGTTGTGTAGTGTTTGTACAACACACAAGCATTGTGTATAGCCATTTGCAAAAAAATAGAAGGGGATTTTCTTCGTCCATTTGTGAGTTTTCCTTGTGAAGTGATGATGATATATGACCATTTGGTCAAAGTGATCAACACATTTCATGTTTGTATTGTAGTCACAGATTGCGTTTGGCTTGTTGACAGTTATTGTCCTTGTATTTGGATGATCAGATAAAAAATGAATTTTATACAAATATTTTTGTATTGGACGAGCGCTGTCCACGGCTAGGACTCAAGATAAAAAAAAGTGGGCGTGAGTGTCGTCCACGGCCATCGATACTGTTAAAAGCCAATAGTTACATTTCAGATGTTCTGTTTCAGGCATTGGCGTTCTCACAACATGGCTCTCAACCTCCTTGGTTGTCTCATTCGGCCAGACATCGCATTTCCTGCTGATGGTGTCCGATCCTTTACTGCCGGTCTCATCCATGACAACATCCGTATTAGAGAAGTAAGTAAAGCAATAAATACATGTTACCTTGAATCCAGTTTGTGTAGGATTTGTATTCAATGCATTAATTTGTGACCCCAAAATGCTCACCAAATTGAATCTTGTGGTTTTCTGTTGTTTTTGTCTTGCGAAGATCCGTAGCCTGGTGGATAGCGAGCAGGACTCGTAATTCTGTGGCGCGGGTTCGATTCCCGCACGAGGCAGAAACAAATGGGCAAAGTTTTTCACCCTGAATGCCCCTGTTGCCTAGCAGTAAATAGGTACCTGGGAGTTAGTCAGCTGTCACGGGCTGCTTCCTGGGGGTGGAGGCCTGGTCGAGGACCGGGTCGCGGGGACACTAAAAGCCTCGAAATCATCTCAAGATAACCTCAAGATCCCCTTGCTGGCCTACCTCAATGGCTGACTGGTTTGTGGACCTTATATGTCAGCTTGTCTGCTGGCCAGGGATGTAGTTTTTCCCTAGTTTGCTTCTTTTGGGTTCCTTGCACACACAATTTCCCAGCATAGTTGGGAAAACCGCCTCTTCAACCTTACCTTCGTCATTGTAAGGTTATTCATCACTCTACTTCACTTCCTCCAAACCTACATACCTCATAAAACATCCAGTATTGCGTTCATCCAAGTTGCAGACGAATGTCTAGACAACCCTACCAGGACACACACCACACATCCCAAGAGCCCACCACAGGTGTGCGGCTGCAAGCCAACCAGCTCATTGTTTCATCTATTAAAACTGCCAATTTTCCTGTTCAACTTTACGTGGTTCCTGGTTCCCTCCAAGGAGGGTATTATTTCGCAGTGGGAGGAGTTTCCAAATCCTCCCTCTCTGTATGCATATACAGTACAGTGGAACCCCGGGGTTAAGAGTGTCCCTGGTTACAAGTTTTTCGGGTTACGAGCAGGATTTGGTCGGAAAATTTGCATCGGGATATGAGCGTTGTATCGGGTAACGAGTGAGTTGATACGCATACGGGCCGACCTAGCGCATGGTGGCACGGTGATCGCCCCTCAGTTTATCAGTGCCTCGCGCCCAGTGACAATCCCACCTGAATTCATCTGCTTGAATGATAGATCTTGAGAATGTTCATTTATGTAACCTAACCTAACACTAAAATTACTGTACGTGAGCTTATCAAGGCTAGTTTTCCTGCCAGCTGCAGAAGCATCATATTTAAATATTTCAACATTGCTCGTATTTGCACTTAATTTTTCAGACAATTTTCACTTGCACAATACTGTATTGTGCCTCGCTTTAAACCTGGAAATGTAACCATCACTTGCCCTAAAATCTGATATTCTAAGGCTGTCTGCAAATCTGCCTAGAGCATTTCTTTTTTCTTCACCACAAATTGTCACACAACTGAGCAGTATTGTGCAAATCACTTATGCACAGCCTCATCCAACTGTGCATAGTGTGAAGGCTTCAAAGGTTTTCTATTATAGCCCCTACTAGTGCAAGCTCCCTCACTCTCACTAGTAAATATGTATTTCATATAGTCATCATGTGTAGAGGCCTGACAGCTGAGTGGACAGTGCTTCGGATTCGTAGTCCCGAGGTTCCAGGTTCGATCCCCGGTGGAGGCGGAAACAAATGAGCAGAGTTTTTTACCCTGATGCCCCTGTTACCTAGCAGTAAATAGGTACTTGGGAGTTAGACAGCTGATACGAGCTGCTTCTTGGGGGGGTTGTAACAAAAAGGAGGCCTGGTCAAGGACCAGGCCATGGGGACGCTAAGCCCCGAAATCATCTCAAGATAACCTCAAGATAGATATTTGTTTCCTTATATCAGAGACAGTTCTAGTGCCTATACTGAAATCCTTGGCAATGCTCACAGCTGACTTGACATTTTCACAGAGTTCAGTGATGCATAGCTTATTTTTAATTATTAACACAACCTTCTTCCTCTTAACACCTCCAGGACAAATGCTATCAGACAGTCTTGGAAAAAATATTATCAAAGTTACTACAAAAACTAGTACTGTAAGTTAAGAAAAATTTGCAGTAATGGAGCATCACTGTGGTATCACACGAGAGCACTTGGATGTTCGTTGACCAGACCTCAACAGGTCTACTTGAGGCATGTTACGTAGGCTGCCAGATAGTAAAAATCCCATAATTTTAGTAGGGAAATATACTCTGCAGCCTGTAGGCACAGTTTAAAAAATTTTCTTATAATATTAGATAATGGTGTATTTTATTTTATTTGTAATTTATTGTATAATATAATTTTCTATGAAGAGCCCCTCTGGCTTCCCAGTGGTATACTGGGCTGATATGTATGTATTAGACCATGGCATCAGTCAATTAAATTGGAGTTCTAGCCTACCAGGGACCACAAGCCTGAACCTGGCCCCCTCAGAGAGGCACGAGGAACAGTGGCCTATAGAAACCCCCTATGTGATTGAAAGCATTCTATGTCTGCCATCTACTGGTTTAGGTACCCCAGAAAGGTAAATGTCCCAAAACAGACCCCACCTGGTGAAACATTGCTACCGAAAACCGAACTGTTAAGCGGAACTCCCAAATCTGAAAGCAAGCAAACAAGCATGTCACACCCACCGCTGCACTGCCTGTCTGCGCAGGAGGGGGAAGGGGGAGCCTCAGACCCCTGCGCCAGCTATCCAACCTCAGTTCTGAGGCTGATATGTTGAGTGGCGATCGTTTGACTCTGGCTCCTGTCTTTGAGCAGTGCTAACCCTTGTGGTGGTGTTCTGCTGTGTATGGTGTGCGAGCCAGGAGTAATTCAAGAAGTACTGTGGCTGCATGTGCCTAGGCCCTTCTTCCCTAGGTGCCTTGTAAGTACTGTTCTTACAGCTTGGGGTTCTCCACCATAAGTTGTTCTGAAACTGCCTCCGTAAGGGTCTTTTGCTGCTCGATGATTGCTTGCCCTTGGAGTCAGCTGGGGTTTTCTTAGCTGCTGTTTGACCTTGGGTAGGAGGCAGTATTGTCGCTGGTAGGGACGCAAGGTACTGTGCATCTTGTCTACTATTATCATAGCGGCCGGTTCTGTTTCCCTGGACACGAGACACACACTCACACCCACTCCTGACACCCACCACACTCACACCCACTCCTGACACCCACCACACTCACACCCACTCCTGACACCCACCACACTCACACCCACTCCTGACACCCACCACACTCACACCCACTCCTGACACCCACCACACTCACACCCACTCCTGACACCCACCACACACACACCCATTCCAGCCTCCCTGCTTGCCTAAAGCATCCCCGACTCCCTCCTTTCCTGGTGGTCGTGTACAATGAGTGTTAGGCCAGGTATTTCACTTCTTTATCTCTGTGGTATAGGTTCACATTTTATATTCAGCAGCAAGTCAACCCTTAGTTTTGGAGAGATGTTTAGGCTTCAGATGTTGACTTGTACACCAGCATATACGGTAAAAACTCTGCCTGTCTATTTGTATCTGAGCAAATTTCTGGTCATCCGGATTCTATGGACATCCATCCGAATATGGATACAAAAGTATCCGGAGGCAATTTTATCAGGATGACACGGTTATCCAGATTAGCGAGGTCTTACAGTTGTTCATTCAAGTGAGGACACTGTAAAAATGTAAAAGCATATTTTTGGCAACTTCCAATCCACACCTAGCCTGGAGCGACCTCCCCGTGGTGATTGCTCCATGAATGCTCATGAACTGTGAAAGCATCAGGAGATTTCCTTTTTCCACCAAGGCCAAAGATAGTCAAATATTTATTATTTTCCTGTGATCAGGGAATACATTTTAACAATTTTAAAGTAAAAAAAAATCTATTATTTCTTCTGTAAAGAGCAGTTGTCATTGAAATTAGGGTGAGCAGTGCATGATTTAGGAACTCAATAAATTATTGCTTAGCTCATATGCATGTACATACAAAAGACAAATTTCCAGCATCAGTTTAGTTTTGGGGTGATGGTTACGTGTTAAACCTGGTACCGTCACCCCATTTGTGATATTGAAGGTATTCTATATAATACTGCAATAGTAAACAAAATTTCAGACCTCAACGTTCTACATGCCTTGGATCCTCAAGAATCAAAAGCGTAAGCACAAGAAAATCAAGATTGACCCATACAATGTTGATGGAGCACATAGTATTTCTATCAAACCAGTTCCTGGTGACTCCAGACCTGATAATTTGTAAGTTGAATTTATGTAATTACGTCTTTTTATATTAAAAAAAAGCATCGCGTATAATGAAATGCCCCTCTTTGGGAACCCTCAGCAACTCCACAGAGCTTATGCACTGGTACCTCAGTGCCAGTGCCATCTTAACAGGTATCTCAGACTTATTCATTGGCCTACTGTAAACAAGGACCAGTCTCTCCTCACCATGCCACCCAGTCTTTCTCTCTTGAACTTGAGCAAACACCTAAAACCCATAAGGAAAAGGTAGCCACTGAGGGGCTCCCAGAATGGGGCATTTAATTATAATCAATGCATTATAATCATTTCTGTGTTGGCTCATTCACTGGTTCCCCAGAGCTACTTCTGTATTTCTGTACAGAAAAGTCAGCATGAATGATCAATAGAAGCTGCATGACCAAAACATGCCTAAGAACATAAGAATAAATGAAAATTGCAGGTCTATCGGCTCATATAAGGCAGCTCCTGTATATATCCACCCAAACTAATTCATACATGTCTCTCCTTGCCACTGAAATATTTCAGCAATTCTACATCTATTATATTATCTAGTAACTTGTTCTATAAAGCTTCAATTTTATTTCCAAATTAGTGACCCAGGTCTTTCCTGATTCTAAACTTATCTAGTTTATACTCATTGTTTCTTGTTCTATTATGTATTGATATACTAGTATTTAAAACCTTACTTATATCCCCTTTGTTATACCCTTTCATTCATTTGTATCCTTTAATCATATTATCCTTTATGCTTCGTCTTTCTAGTAAATGTAAATAGTTATTTTATTGTATCTTCATAAAGAAGATTCAAATTGCTGGGTTTAACTGTCATCCTTTGCTATACATTCAAGTTTACCTAAGTCCATTCTGTAGTGCAGAGACTAAAAATGAACTGCACAAACTGAATGAGGCCTAACAGAGCTACGATAAAGCTCAAGACAATCAAATGATTTACCTGGTTGATACCTGGTTGATGGGGTTCTGGGAGTTGTTCTACTCCCCAAGCCCGGCCCGAGGCCAGGCTTCACTTGAGAGTTTGGTCCACCAGGCTGTTGCTTGGAGCGGCCTGCAGGCCCGCATACCCACCACAGCCCGGTTGGTCCGGAACGTCTTTTAGAAAACAGTCTAGTTTTCTCTTGAAGGTGTCCACGGTTGTTCCGGCAATATTTCTTATAGTCGCTGGGAGGACGTTGAACAGCCGAGGACGTCTGATGTTTGTATAGTGTTCTCTGATTGTGCCTATGGCACCTCTGCTCTTCACTGGTTCTGTTCTGCATTTTCTTCCATATCGTTCATTCCAGTACGTTGTTATTTTACTGTGTAGATTAGGGACCTGGGCTTCCAGTATTTTCCATGTGATATTATTTTGTATCTCTCTCGTCTCCTTTCTAGTGAGACATTTGGAGAGCTTTGAGACAATCCCAATAATTTAGGTGCTTTATTAATCTTTGTTAAATTGCCAATCAAGCTGTTCAATGCAATCAGAGCTACCGATGTGCTTTAATATACCTACTAATCTCTCTCGTTTCATATTTTTTCTTGCAACGTACCTATCATTTTATAAATTCTGCTAGAATATACCTACTGAAAATTATCTGTTAGATTAAGGACCTGCCCGAAACGCTGCACGTACTAGTGGCTTTGCAAGAATGTAAATACCATGCTATGTATCCTCACAAACCCAATGTACCTTGTATATAAATAAATAAATAAATAAACCAATGGAACCACCTACCCGCTGAAGGCGTAAATGCCAAAATCCAGCTAGAAAATATTAGGACAATTGGCGGGACTTAACAAGCCCCCAGTTGTCCTCGTCGAGGCCACTAGATAGTGGCCCTTGGTTAAATTTAGGTAAATAAGTACCATCGCTTCTCAAATCTTGGGAACAACAATGAAAGCTATACACTGTCTTTTAGAATTACGTAGGTAAACAAAAAAATGTAACATTTATATACTACAATGTTGGTGCTGACTGTCCAGGTTGAAAAAACATAGTTTTACTTCGAAATGTACTAATTTTATAAGAAAATACGACGTAAGTAAGTAACAAGTGGTCACAGATAAGCTCCAATATGCCAGCGTCGTGATTGGCTACAGCTGTAAGATGGAAAATGTTACCTTCTCTCTGATTGGCCAAACTAAAAGCCTAGTGACATCTAGCGAAACCTAAGTGAACTACTTAAATATCTTTGTAAATTTACTTTTCTGAATTGCCCTTTGGCACATTCTTAGCCGGCACTTTGGAATCTTCGTAGCACACATACTTACGAAGAAAGACATGGAGCTTTGTGAATCTAGGTCCTGGTGAAGGTGAGAGTGCAGCCATTTGGTGGCAGTCAGGGAATGTGGCCATGCAAGAAACTAGAAGAATGATGAAAGTACATTTTGTGATGACAAAAACAGCTTGGAGAGTCTTTTGTATGTTTGAACTTTCCTTGGTCACTCTGGGGTGGATTGAGCTTGCCTCCAAAATGTTCCTAACACCTTTATGACCCAGCTTGAACACTTGAACAGACCCCCAAGGCACCTGTGCAGAATGACCCCCCTGCCCTGACTTACTTGATTCTTTCCAGTAGAACCTGCAATGAACTTGCCTCAGGGAAGTATTGAATACTTCCCTGAGGAAGTTCAGTACTTGATAATGTACTGATGTTCTGCTCCTACTTAGATGGATGCAGTATGATAGTAAGAAAAGAATTAATACTGAGGAGCAGTGGGAGGAGAGCAGATTTGTGGAGAAGACCTATTTTGGATGGTATACATGGCCAAAGTAAGTAAATGTATTATTAATAATAAGCATTTTTGCAACAGTTGGAGATAAGTTGAAATTAAAAATATAGTATAATTTTGATAGCCAACTATGTGTTAACTGCTAATTAGTGTACTAGTTAAAATAAAAAAAATTGAAATCTACTTTTTAGAACTTGTCTTAATTTTAACGTTTCATGACTTTGCAGATCATTGTTAGTTTATGCTCCACCATCACAGCAGCCAACACTAGATCGAAATCGAGAGGAGTTAAAAGAAGAAGAGAAGGAGATTTATGACTTTTTCATCTCGCATGATAATGTTGACAAATTAGTATCGTTTTTATCTCTCGAAGAAAACAAAGAACGTGATAATTTCAACACTCGGCGTTTCTGGATGTTTAAGGTACTGTACATCATCATGCGACTTATAGGTGTTGAGCAATCTCGGCATTACTACAAGGAGCCACTGAGGCCCCACTCCCCCAACCAAAAAGAGATGTTTTATTACATTCAACTCTGGCTTTCTAAGGGGGAGCCCCTTGTGGCTCCTTGAAGCTGCTACACTGATACAATGCCCTACAACTAGGGTGCCATCAGTCAGTTTTTAATTGGCTTACCGGGGGACCACAAGATAGAACCTGAGCCCATCAAAGAGACGCAGGGAGTGGTGGCACTATGAAAAGTTTTTATATAAAGCTACTCAAAACTGCCAGCTCCAAAGGAAGGCACCTAGACAGTCAGGGAAACAAAACAGACCACTGCTTGGTTAGAAACGAGACTGCAGTCTCAAAACTGCCAAAAGAACTCCCCCAATAATGTAAACAAACGATTGAAAATTCATGGAACTAGGATGAGCTAGTTCCCCCCACCTTTTCCTTCAATTAGCAGGAGGGAGGGAGGGAGGAAGATAGTCATCTGGCTGCTCTACCACCAGTTTTTATTCTAATGTAGACAGTGCTCTGTGCCCTCTGTTTGCTCTGGCTCCAGTCTCCTGTCTTTAATCAATTGGTGTTTGCCTTTGAAGTTGTTCTTGTGCACATTTGTGCTGTGTGAGCCAGGAGTTTGGTGTACTTGGAGCTTCAGTACTCCCTCCCTCCCCCCCCTCCCCCCCATCCACACTGCTACCCCTCTTTCTGCTGTGGGAATTGGGGAGAGGATGTACAGTAGTGGGGATACCTTTCAGCCCATCTGTGATAGTCTTAGTCTCATCTCTGGCACTCTCTGGCCTGCCCACCCAATCGACCACCCGCTCCTGGATATTCACTCTGTGCCATCCACCTTTTTACTCACTCGCCCACCCAATCGCCTGACAACCCTTGCCACCCACCTTACACTACCATCTGTTCTGCCACCCACCTGATGCTACCATCTCTCCTGCCACCAGCCTACTCATTCTGCTGCATGGATGCCCAAATGCCCATCTGCCCACCCTGCCACCCACCCACTCTGTTGCCTGCCTACTCTGCCACCCACCCACCCACTCTGCCCACTCACTACTACCCATCTGCCTGAACCCTGCTGCCCATCCACACACTGCCTGTCACCTGCTCGCCAGCCTCGATTCTACACAGTACTGCTCCATTACTGAAAGATTTTCTTTTTAACTTTTTTATACTTTAACATAAGCCTCAATCATGTTTTGCTAACATCATATCTGCCCTTGCCTGCCCACCTTCCAATCAGCCACCAATCCATCTACCCTACCCTACCCGCCCACCCAACTGCCTGCCTGCCTGCCTGCCTGCCTGCCTGCCTGCCTGCCTGTCTGTTTCCTTTCCAAATATGATTAAAAAATCACTGACATTTTAATACTTCTGGATTTAGTGGAGCCCCAGATTTAACTACCAAGGTACAGCCCCCTATAGGTTGTTAAATCGAGTGGATATTTATATACAAAGGAAAGAAATCAACATACAAGCATTGAAACGTTTATCATTTGCCCTGATTAACAGTTCTCCATGCAAGGACAGAAACCTAACAATAACAACTGGGGTCATAGCCCCCCCCCCTGACCCCGTCTCCTCCTCCACTCTGTCTGGTGGCTGCCCTCTTGAGGTGGAGTGGAAGGCCACAGTATTTGATTATACTGTCATATCAACAACCTAACCTTTAGCAGCAAAAAATGGACTAAATTTCAACAATTTCATTGACCCTTAAACTGTGCATGGCGTATATATACACCACGAATAACATGTCCCATGGTGCGCATGGTGTATATATACGCCATAGGATGCCAGGCACGATTCAAATGGCCCGCGGCTACATGGGGTTCACATTAGCTTCCTCAAGGCTCTTGTAAACAGATGCCATGTTTAAAAAAAATCGTGGGCAATATTCTTCGGTGTGAGAGCCACAGTACTATTGGAGCAACCAAGGCTGGCACACGCAGCATGAGCTAACAGCAATGCTGTTCAATTATATGTTTATTGCTTTAAAAAATTATTAAATTATTTGTTTATTGTTTTATGAATGTAATAATTGAACCACTAATATGAACACCATACTTTTGAGTATAGCGATGATCCACACATTTTATGATATAAATCTATCACACTACACACTATTGAATAATAATACTGCAAAAAACTAAGAAAAAGTCAGATATTGAAATAATTAGGTAATAATATCTTTGTGGCAACTCCCACCAGACAGCTTGGATGACGCTGACCGCCTCTGACAACCTCTCTGTCAATGCCCACATTTTGCCAGACTTCATTGGCCTATTCGGCCCAAAATGTGTCGCCTATGAATTTTTTTTATTTTCCCGTGCTCAGGGAACACAAATTAACATTTTTAGAAGATGAAAAAATTTTTTTTTTTTTTTTCTTGCACACAGGGGTGTAAATCTCCTCAGGACCTCTTAGCAGCTTAAGGGTTAATATGTATATTACGTAAATAAACATGTAGATCTTGTGTGGTTATTTTAAATTTAGCCCTCATACATTTTAAGAGATTGTTCTCTTAAATGGATTTGATTGAAACCATAAAATGAATGGAATGGATTGTTCACCTATCTAATACAGATAATCTCATGCATCTTTAACCATTGCAGGGTTTGTTCCGGAACTTTGGAGACACTTTCCTTCATCTGTTGGAAGGTCATATAAAAAGACTGGTTGGAGAAACTCAAAAGAGCAGTCAAAGGTGTGCTGCAGAAATTATTACTGGTGAGCTCTTAATCTATATTTATTAAATAATATTTATCAAGTAATGATTAAAGTTTATTAAAGATCTTGTAAAACTGATTAAGTAATACTGTGTAATTACCTAAGTAATTACCTAAGCCGGTCAGCCGAGTAGACAGTACACTGGACTTGTGATCCTGTGGTTCCGGGTTCGATCCCGGGCGCCGGCGAGAAACAGTGGACAGAGTTTCTTTCACCCTATGCCCCTGTTACCTAGCAGTAAAATAGGTACCTGGGTGTTAGTCAGCTGTCACAGGCTGCTTCCTGGGGGGTGGAGGCCTGGTCGAGGACCGGACCACAGGGACGCTAAAGCCCTGAAATTATCTCAAGATAACTTCAAGATACCTAAGTGTAGTTACAGGATGAAAGCTATGCTCGTGGTGTCCCATCTACCCAGCACTCTTTGTCATATAACACTTTGAAACTACAGTACTGTCTGTCTGATATTATATAATTTCTCTCAAGGTGTTCTACCCATTTAGTTTTTATTATTTTTTCCACTATTTTCACTATTACACTTGTCAATGATACAGGTCTATAATTGAGGGGGTCTTCTCTGCTGCCACTTTTGTAGATTGGAACTATGTTAGCCTTTTTCCACACGTCTACTATGGCTCGAGTACACAGGGATGCCTGAAAGATGAGGTGAAGTGGAATGCTGAGCTCAGATGCACATTCTCTCAGAACCCATGGGGAATCTCAGTCTGGGCCAACTGCTTTGTTCTTAGCTCCAAGAGCATTTGTTTCACTTCGTCTCTAGATGCCTCTGTGCTCTATGCTGTTCTCTGGAATTCTTATTGTGTCTGGTTCTCTGATGATCTCATTTTGTACAAACACACTTTGGAAATTTTCTTTTAATGTTTCATACATTTCCTTTTCATTTTCCATGTATCTGTCCCCCATTTTCACCCTCTGAATATTATCCTTTACCTGCAGCTTGCTTTTAATGAATTTATAGAAAAGGCCTGGATCTGATTTACAATTGTCTGCTATACAGTTCTCAAAGTTCCTCTCTGCTGTTCCTTACTGACGTGTAGTTGTTTCTTGCATCTTTGTATCATTGGTATGTTTAGGGGTTTGGCCTCTTTCTATAATGATTCCATGCTTGTGTCTTTTGATCTCTGGCCCTCTCACAATTTCTGTTGAACCAACCCTGTTTCCTAGGTCTACATGTCTGTTTTGGAATGAATGTTTGTGTGCCTTCATCGTATATTTTGCAAAATTTGGCATACATCTCATTTACTTCCTTGCCTAGCAAAAAGTCTTTCCAATGATACCCATGAAAAAAATTTCTTAGTTCCCCATAGCATCCTCTCTTGAAATAAAGTTTAACAACTGTTTCAATGACCCCATTCTCTACTAGATTATACCGCATAGCGTATTTAATGTTGAAGAGGACATGATCACTCTTTCCCAAGGGAGGAAGGTACTGGATGTCAAATACCTCTTCTTCTTTCCTGGTGAATTCTAGGTCCAGTACTGATGGAATATCCCCTTCCTTCATTCTTGTGGCCTGCTTGATGTGTTGATTCATGAATGTCTCCAAGATGAGGTTTAAAAATCTGCCTGTCCAAATGTCTTCCGTGTAATAATGTCAAATGTGTGTAATAAAAAGGAGGCATGGTCGAGGACTGGGCCACGGGGACACTAAGCCCCGAAATCATTTCAAGATAACCTCAAGATAAGATAACCATGTAGCCTATGTTTTCTATCACATCTGAAAAGATTGAATTCTGGTATCCATATCTCATTGTCATAATAGTCCTGTGTGTGAGTTTCAGTCAAAGCTGCAAACATTTAATTTGCCTCATTTAGAAAATCAGTTAGAAAGTAGACTTTGTTTTGCATGTTTTGATGTATGTTAGCAAATAAGAAAGATATACAGTAATCATATATGGGAAGTTTTGGGTATTTTGCTTGTGTTAAAGTAAAATGATATAAAATAGAGCTGGGAAGAACGAAGTGATTTGTGAAATACTGTATATTTTGTAAATTTGATATTATGCAATATATCACGATGTTTCTTAGGCAACAATTATGAACAATTATTGTAGCATATTTCAAAGAATGGGGAATTAGTTATGTTGGGCATGATTACTGTGTAAAGATTTGTATTTGATTTCTAAGGATGTTCTGGTTTCATAATGGGTAATTATATACAGTCTAAATGTAAGTGGATACTGTTGGAAGTATATTGTAAGCAAATTTACAAGTGCTGTAAAATAATTAGACATTTTCCTTTGTCTTTTGTCTTACATTTTTTGGCTCAACATAATATGTAATGGTTTTAGGAATTAAGGGTAAACTTGCATATCTACATTCGTCATTATTTGTAAACTTTAAGATTTCATTAGTTGGTCATTAATTTCAGGTATGATACGTGGAAGCAAACATTGGACCTTTGCTAAACATGAAGCATTATGGGAGGTGTTAAAACCAATCCTACAGGTAGGGATGGCAAAGGTGACGGTGGAGACGGTGGAAGACTGGGGCACGTGCATGGCCACAGCCAGTGCAGACAGAGACCCCAACAGATTAGCACCCTTAATGGAGATCTTAATGGATGATCCCCTTAGAGCTAGTGAAGGAGCATTTAATGGATCAAGGTGAGAGACTATACTTAATAATTAATGTGAAATTTTATTTTGAAAAGTCACTCGTATACACAGTAGATATGGTATAGATTGTCTTTTATTTTGGTTGAGACCATGGAAACTGCAGATCAATTTTAGGTAAATGTAATATAATACTAGTTTGGTAAGTAGTACATACATGTTAAACAAAAAATTCATCAATAGTAGTTCTACTGTAGTGTACTTGGAATTAGTTTTTAATACTGTATATATCATGGCAGTAAGCTGAAAATGCTGCAGGTATACTGAGAAATTAGGGTTAACAGGTAACAAAGGAATAGTAGTACTGTAAATCCATTAGACTGGGCAGGTACTGATGACATCACATTGAGGTTAGAAATAGTTTGTTGAATATAATGAAATGCCCTTTTCTGGGGTTCTACCAATGACTCCCCATATCATATTAGCTAGTGCCCCCAGAGCATTGCCATCTCACCAGGCCTCTCGGGCTTTTCCCATCGCCTCATTACTTTCTGGGGGGGGAGCCCCATTGGCTCCCTGAAGCTATTATACACTGATCAGTGGCATACAAATTGATGCCATCAGTCGTAGAGTTCTATTAACCTACTGGAGACCACGAGCCAGAACCTGGCCTTCTCAGAAGTAGTGCAGGGAGCAATGGCCTATGAAAACCTTACATTTAAAGTCTGATCATAATTGCCACTACCAAGAAAGCCCCAGAAAGGTAGGCAAACCAAAACAAACTACTGCATGGTTAAAAATAGAGACCACATTCTTAAAACTGCCAAAACAACTTCCACAATAATGAAAACAAACGACCAAAATTTTTGTGAAGTGCCCCATCTTTCCCCGTTTGCGGGGACGAGAAAGGCCTACCAAGTCAGCTGGCTCATTACATCCTTAGTTCTTGCTGATGTGTGCCCAGGTGTGATGCCGTGGTCACAAGCTGAACAGCAGTGCTGTTAGCTGGTGCTGATTGAAGATAATGCTGATATTATGGATGGGAGACATAGTGCTATAGACTAGGGAGCCGGACGAGCATACTAGGCAAGTTCGGTTGGCACAAAAATACTTGCTAATAATAAAATATTGAAAGCAAACCAAATTATTACAGTAAATTGTTATTAATAATAAAATATTGAAAGCAAGACGAGTTATTAGTCTTAACACAAACTTACGATACGTAGACAGTTATGAAGGGAGGGTTTATATTTAATCTATTTTAGTACTGATAATTAAATTGGTTCAAGGGAAATGTTTTTATAATGTTTACAATCCAGAGACTGATGTTTGAGAAGTATTCATATTGTTGTAAGCTGGTGAATTTAATGGCGACGTGGCAATGATATCCCATATTCTTCTGTGGAAAATTCCACTGCAGTTTCATTTTCTTTGAATGAATTTGTTAGAACAAAAACAGCAATATTAACTGTTTGTTGTATTTAAAGTTAATAAATGGTGTCAGTTTTTCCGACATACCCTGCTTGTGGGTGCTGTCTTGGAATTAAGTGACCCTACCTCATCTCCCCGGACAAGAGGGGTAAGAAGGTTGCCTTACAGGACTCAACTCAGACCACCTCCACAATTGTTACATCCCTCTTTTCCCAGAATTAAGACAAACCCATGTGTACATAGTTAAGCATGATTTTGTCTTGTTAGGGAACCTTCCTCTAGTATTCCAGATGAAAAAACAAAATTGCATACAAAAAATCTAACCTAACTAAGTATTATGACACATAGTACTGTGGGGAGTTTTCCAGCAGTTGTTTATTTAATTTTAGATTTACAATACTATGATTAAGTGAACTGTATGTTTTAGTTTTAATTCTTGCTAGAGGTCTCCCTGTACACATAAAAATTTGGGGGCTGGTTTAATACTGCTAAACCAACTTGAAATTTGAAATAAAAATATTTAAATGAATTGGTTAGTAGGCCACACAACTATGGGTTAATTTGTGAGAACGTTAATCTTAGCTGGAAAGAAGAATTCCTCCTAGACCAGCTCGGGTATGGGAGTAGACAACAATGGATCAAGCATGCAAAGTAGACCTCGTGGTGACTGCATCCAGTACTCCCGCGAGTTGGAACAGGTGTGGAACCCTCTCACGTCGCCACAGTAGATTGGGTTTGTTTGTGAGGCATGCCTCGTAACCCAGTTGACATTCTAATGTTATAAAACTCTGGAACAAAAGATAATTTATACAACTGGAACACATTCTCTCGTGTTTGGAGAATGCGGCAGTCCAAAGCATGGTAACTCGTTCTAGGATGCGTGTCTGCTGCTCAACTTGCACCTCCGAGAGACACGCTTCTCTTATAAGCACAAATATGGTGTCAAAGGTGAGAGTACAGTGGTACATCCATCTGTCACCTAATCTCGGTTATCACATTGATGGTAACATGCTCAAACACATCTTGGTTATTGAGATGTTTGATCTGGGTAAGACTGTATTGAGAAAACTCAGCCCAACTGGGTAAACAATTGAATTAGATTCACAGACAAGCATTTAAAACTTGGATAGTGACATTTATTTTCTGATTATTAGACATTTTGAATACTACTTTATGTACCAAACTTAGCATTGATTAAAATCTACTCAGTAGTAGTCACTGAACAGGAAGTAGAGAACCCAATATGGCTGACTGCCCCTAGAATTTCACAAAACACATAATACAGTAGTAGAACATACAGTATATCACCTTGCAAACACTCGCCAAGTTCAAAATACAGACATGATGAAATTAGTGGGAACAGGCCTCGGTTCACACAACTCCTCTGGTCTGAAGCCTCCTCTTGGACTAACATGGAGCCTCAGCTCACACTGTCTCTGTCTCTCCATTCACACACTAATGAATCTTCCTGATTTCTTCTTTGCTTTCTGATCTGCTTTCTGTTCGCCTCAATTGATTTGTCCCCGGCTTTTATACCCTTGGATCCCCGTTACCATTGGATTACCAGATGAAGCTGGAGAATTCTCGGAAAGGGATCAATTAGCCAACCTTTGATAATTATCAAAGGTGGGGTTTGTGAAACCTTACCTTATCTTCTGGGTGCGAGAGTGGTAGGTTTAGGTCATAGGGATCAACTCTGGTCACCTCAACAGCTTTTACATGTGGATGTAAATTGCCTTGTATGGAGACCACTTCTTGAACCTCTTGTGGTATAAAAAAACCAGATATGAATATAATGAAACACCAGTTTCTGGGTGTGCCCCAGTGGCTCCCTGAAGCTATAAGCCGAGATGATGATATCTACTAGGTCGCATCAGCCGTGAAGTTCTGTAGACCTACTGGGGAACAGAGCCAGAACCTGGCCCCCTTACAGAGGAGCAGGGAGTGATGACACTTATTTTCACCACCGCGCTGGGAAAGGCAACCAGAAAGTCAGTGAGTCAAAACATATTACTACTACTAAATTATAAAAAAACACTGAAGCCTTGAAACCCACGAAAGAACTCCACCCAACTGGGTAAACCATTGAATTCTCTCGGTACTAGTACGAGCTTGTTCAACCCACCTTCCCCACTCGTATGGAGGAAGGAAGCTCACTGTCCGCCAGGATCTGAGCTCCAAGTTCTAGAGCAGATGTACAATATTTTCAACAACATTTTTCCCTCCGTAGTTCTTGGGGTTTCATATTGTAGCGTCTTCCAGCCTCATTTTTCAAGTACAGTACTTAATACAGTACATGAATGCATTGTCTTGGCTGGTTTTGTCTCTAGCCTGTTGTCATGCCAGGCAATGTCTGTGTTTGCATGCAAGCTCACAGAATGTTATTGGAGTTCAAGATGGTTCAGATGGTATTTCTGTGCATTCCTCTTCTGTGGGGCTTGACGACCTAACTTCATTCAGATAGTCTATGGGTGGTTCATTGTCTCATAAGTGAAAGCTGCACTCAGTCTCTTCCCTATGGACTTGGACTCATGGATGTAGCCTTGCTTCATGGGGTTTGATCCTTGGTGCAATTCACATTTGTGGCATCTAAAATGTGCTAACTGCTGGTTTCACTTTTATCCAATTTCAACAAGGTAGGAGGTAGAACCTCATTTTACTGCTTATGCTAGACCTTCAGGTTACAAGAAGTGGACATTTTTGCCTCGGTTTGGAATCTGCAGCTGTACTGTTTGTGACTCCAGTTTTCTAATAAGAAGCATTTGTGGGGATGCTTTGCTACTGAACTGGAACCTTTGGTTCCAGTCCTCTTTCTTTTCTTACTTACTTTTCTTCCTTATAAGGCAAAGGTTGGCGAACCTCTTTCTTTTGGTTCAGGTGTTTACACTGTCAGCTAAGATGGAGAGCTTTAGTAACCACATCAGGCTCTTGACTCCCATGCTGCCAGTTCAGCCAAAATTAACATTTCCTTCTCTCATGTTATCCCAATTTGGTACCTTTTCTAATAATTTTATTTCCTGACTGTTGATTGATGGCTTATATTGAATGCTATCTCCTCTTATTGTTCAGCTTTGGCAGAGCCTCGTTTGATTTTAATGTGGTGTTAACCTTGGCACCCCTTTCTGAAGCTGTCAAGTTTTCTTCCATTATGGCTGGCTAGATTCAGCTCTGTCCCTGACGAAGATTTTGACTTCTTGTTGGCTCCTTTCCCAGTGAACTCTATGTTCATGGTAATACATACCCCATTTTTTCTCATGTCATGTCATGCTTCCATTTCTTTTGGGCCCAGTGATTGGTTCCCTAGTTTACAGAAGTCCAGTGCTTCCTTACTAAAGATTGATTGGTACACATTTTGTTGTAAACCTGCAACAGTTCTATTGTTACGTAAAGTATGGTGACAATAAACACAAACACTAAGAGAATATATATATTTGGTCGAGTATACAGAAGAATGCAGGTGATAGCTTGGCGAGCAATGGTGAGAGTTGAGCGCACTGAGAGTCGGTACAGTATCTCGCAAGTGTCTGTTCTAGACCACACTTGAAAGTAGACTCGTTATTACTCGCTACTCTGCTGCTTTTATGCTCGGGCAACACCTCACCATTCTCCAAAGGTTGGCGGGAAAGGTTTGAGTTCCATAATTAGTACCAAGAAGAGTTTTGCTTCTCTCGTTAGGCTAATGCGTTTGGAGCGAGTATATTATTGGGATAATCTACTCACTACAAACCTATTTGTATTCTGACTTGGTTCATGCATTCTGCCTTGGCAGCAGTCTCCAACATGTATGCTGCCAACATCAGGCCCCTATGGTTCTGGCGCACTGAGTGCTTTCAGGGCCTTGCCTCCTTAATCTGCCTTGCCTGTGTCTACAGTGGGTGGCACTGCACTATGTTAGAATATATGAGGTTTGGTACCATCTGGGTCCTAAATTTCTGGGCTTTTGCTGCTCCGAGTAAGTCTCGCCTTCCCTGTGTTGTGTGCCTGATTTTATTTTATACTAATTTCTTACCAAAAGCAGGTTTCTCTCACAAGACATAGTTGAGAAGAAGCTTTGTGAGATACTGAGGAATTGACCCAGAAATAAGCAGAAGTGTTGTGACACACCCATTTCTGGCTCCACCTCAGTAACTTGTTGTTCCCCACCCTGCGTGCATCTTGCTAGATGTTTCACCAATGCTAGTGTGTGATGGGCAGGTGCATTGCCAGGTTGGTGGTAAGTTGGTTTGGACAGCTTATTTAGTAATTGCCAGTTTTGTTTTGGTAGTTGGACAGTTTCGAAACATTTCATAGAGGAAGTTTGTGTCTTGTGGCATCCTTTCATGCATTCAAGGGCAGTTTGCCTCAGTATTGAACTGACCTCTGATCTGCATGTGTTCCTTGCCTTGAAGGAGGGGGCAAGAGAAAATTGTAAAAGCCCTGATCCCTGGTAGGCAATTACAGTCTCTTGGGTACCTGGCTTCTTCAAACCTGACCAGTAACGACCAGAACGTAAGCTATGTGAGGTAATGAGATGAAACCCAGTAACAGGCACTTCATTATTTCTGGCACACTATTTTTACCATTAATTTATATTGTTGTACTTGGCATTTTTAAATCTTAAAAAAAAAGTTACTTTAAAATATTTATAACAAATGTTTCAAAATAATGACTGAAATGGCTTAAATGCATATTGTGTATAAATCTAATGCATACAGTAATTTTTTTTCACAGCCGAATGTATATGTTAATGGGAGGCCTAGGCCAGCAAGAATGGCGTGTAGCAGAGTTAAGTCATCGATTGCTAGAGTATCTGCGACCATCACTTTCACACCCATACAAAAGCATTAGGGATAGATTGGGAAGGTCAGTATAACTCATATTTCTGAACCCTTGTAATGATACTTTATGGTTTTTTCATGATTTTTCTTAAGAATGCCTTTTGTCTTGGGTTGAAATTTCAACACATACTGTATATATGGTGGTATAATTAGCGTCTATTTTTTATGCCAGTTTTGTATACCATTGTATATATGAAAGTGCAATCTCGCTTCAGCAAATCTCTGGTTGCAATATGCACTCTGCAGACCTGATCTACTCATCTGCTTTGCTGGACAAGTGTTTGGCAAATTGGATGATATATGGATTTTGCTTGGGAGTCAGGGCCAGTGTTCACCGAACTGAGAGAATGTTGATGGATCTGGTTTATTTACATAATTTTAGTGTCATGACCCAATCTTTAAGAACCCCAAAATTGATTGTAATGAAATGCCTCTTTCTGGTAAAGCCACAGCAGGTCCCTGAAGCTATCTTGCTGAGATTGCTCCAAGCTTATGGGTCACAACAGTCGCAGAAACTCTGTTTGGCCTATCAGTGACCAGAGCCAAAACCTGGCCCCCCCATACAGAGACATGGAAACAAGTGACACTCCATCACCCCCACATCCATGAAGTCACCATTGTCTAGAGAATTCTCCCATTCACAAAAGCCTTAAAGCGGCCAAACATCTCCACAGATTTACACACAACACATTCAGACTAGTTCAAAACTCATTAGTACGGATTGCCACCACCAGGCGACCCAGCTCCTGCCTGCATCTGGCTCCCCTGTCAGTTCTGGAGCTGATGGATAACCAGCCAATAAACTGACTAACCTGGAGGGAAGGAAAGGAATCGGGGAGTTGGCCGCAAACTCCCGAACCGTACTGTGAGTCCGACGACGGAGACCAATGACCCTGGCCGGCTATGATTGTCAGTCACAAAGCTCCCAACCTAGAGCCGAGACTTCCATGAATACGTTAAGCAAGGGCGAAGGAAGGTGCCAGGGAACCGAACCTGAAAAGCCCGAAGAGGAAGCCAAAAATGCACCAAGCAGCACAGGATTCTCAGAGCCTGCACCCAGCAATCGTGGCAGCCACAAAAGGGACTGTCCCGAAGATACCAGAACAGCCACAAAAGCCAAATCTTACCCAGAGGAAACACAGTGAAGGCAAAATTCAGACTCCTACTCAACTGCTAGAGCAGCTGCCAAGTCTCCTGATGCCGACTCAACACCAACAGATGGGTACTGCAACCAGGTTGAGGTCACCAGAGGCAGGGGAAAGCAATGCTGTCGAAGAGTTCCAAACAAGGCTGTCAGGTTCAAACCTGGGATGGAACCAAACAACTTCTGCCAGCATTCCAGGAACATGAACCCAGGCAGCTGGGAAAGAACCAGGAACTGGCAAGCAGAAATGCAGACCAGTTGAGAGCCCACCTCAGCAAGTGGAAGAGATAGTCCAAAACTGGTAGAAGAGATGAGATAAACCAAAGGAATTGGTTCATCTAGTCTCTTGCCGCATTTAGTTTCTCCCATTGGCCTCCTCTGGCTCCACGAGTGTTCACGTGGAGCCAGAGGAGGCTCAATGGGAGAAACCAAATGTGGCAAGCTTGATGCCCATATAAGCAGAAACCATAGGGAAAAAACCCTTACTGCCTTTGGTTCGTTTGTAGAGAGCAAGGAATGCACCGAATCAGCCATAAAAAGCTGAAAAAGAACCAGACGCCTGAGAAGGCCCGGTACCAGACTGGGACCTGGCAGGAGGACCTAAACTCTGAGAATGGGGAGAGACTGACCAACAGCACCATGAGATGTGGGAAACTACCTTAAAAAAAGAAAACATAAAATGTGGGACCAGAGGATCAGCTTCCCTATACCAAATGGGAAACAAGAAGAGCTGGAGCAGCCGAATCAAACGATTGGGGGCAAGCATAATGCTGGCCCGCCAGAGACGGATCTGCAGAAGGAATCACAAATGACCCAGGAACTGGTTCCACAGAAGGCCTACATTGACCCACAGGACTTAAAGCCCAAGCTCTGCCCAGAAGAGAGAGCTAAGGCCCACACAAAAACTGAAGAAAAGCCAACACAACCTGCTGACATGCAAGGCATGCAAAGAAGGTGGCCACCAGACCCCAGAGCACCGGAACAGAAAGCTCAGGAGGTGCAGCCGAATGCACCATAACATAGGCCATGACTCCCCCATCCCCCCTCCGCCTCTGCCAAGTGCCTGAAGACCCCCTGGAGCTAATCCAAAGGAAGCCCCAGGTGATATAGGAACACACAATGGAACCCAACACAGGTGGTCTGAAAGTCAAAGACCACAGGCGCTGCCAAGGAGGATACCTGGACAGGGAGCAGAACGAGACGTCCAGTCCGAAAAATGTGGGTAAGCAAGCACCCAAGGAGGCTGTGATAAGAGCCCACCACCACACTAGGAAGAGGACGAGACCCAGTATATACTCAAATGCTCTAATCTTTCTAACAAATGTGACTTAACATAAGCTTACCCCCTTCCATTTATCTTTCTTTCTCTTTCCTTTTCTTTCTCTTCTCCCCTTTTTCTGTTCATTGTCTTCTCCTATGCTCCCTTGCTATCCTCTTCTTATTCCTATTACTATCTCCTTCTCATTCAGTGGTTATAATAGGAGCTGCCTCGTATGGGCCAATAGGCCCTCTGCAGTTCTCATTATTACTACTATCCCCTACACCTTACTTTCCTCCTCAGCTCTCTTGCCTATTTATTGCCTGTCTCTACCTCATCACAATCGACTTGAGAATGGTCCAGGACGGACCGAAACGTCGTCGTCCCCTCAACTTCTAGTGTGTGGTCTGGTCAACATACTTCAGCCACGTTATTGTGACTCATCGCCTGCAAAAGGACGATACCCCATGCCACCCAAGTGTGCAGGACCAACAAATGCCTTGCCAAGACCCAAGTGATAAGAAAGAAATGTTTGCCAGCCAGGATAATACTGGAACCTTGCAAAGCTTCCAAGGAAGAAAAGGACCCAAATTCAATAGAAGCACCTTTCACCTCCACTGATTAAACCCTGATTTTTCATATACCCGTACAGTACTACAAAAATGTATTTATTTATCTAGTATAATTTTAGTGCAGAAATAATGTCCTACATTAAAGGCATTTTTGTTACAAATTTCATTGAGCAGGATTACTAATAGTAGTTTTTCTGGGGAAAGCCCCTTCGGCTGCCCCGGAGCTATCCAGGCCGATATGTAATATATTAGACTTTGGCATCAGTGTGAATGAAGTTCATAGGCCTACCGGGGACCATGAGCCAGAACTTGGCCCCCCTCAGAGAGTCCCGAGGAGAAATGGCCTATAGAATAGCACATGTGATTAGGAGCATTCTATGTCTGCCATTGACTGGGTCAGGCACCCAGAAAGGTATGCATCCCAAAATAAACTCCTATTCTGGTTTAAACTATTACTGAAAGTCAAACAAGTGGACAGAACTCCCCAAAGAAAAATGAGCAAACGAGCATGACATCACCACTTGCCACGCCGCAGTCTGTGCAGCTTCCCCTTCCCTAGGAGGGGGAAGGAGGAGCCCCAGACCCCTCGCACCAGCAACCCACACCTTCAGTTCTTTGGCTGATGTGGTTGGCATTGGTTGCTGTGGCTCTGGCTCTTGATTCTGTCCACTGCTCTGTCTCTTGTGGTGTGAGGCGAGTCTTCTCTGGTGGTGCGCGAGCCAGGAGTAATTTCCCAAGTACTCAGGCTGCATGCACCTAGGGTCACCTTCCCTAGGTGCCCTGTTAAGTACTGCCCTTTGGACTTGGGGTTATCTTCCACAAGTCATCTTGAGTCTACCTCTGTTGATCTTTTGATGCATGGTAATTGACCGCCCTGAGTGTGCTGGGGGGGGGGGGGTTTCTTCCTCCCTGTTTACCTTAGGGTAAGGGGTAGTTTGTACTGGTAGGGGGCACTGGATACTGCACAGCTAGTTATCACCTATAATGGCGGCCAGCTCTGTTCCACCTGGGTATGCTGTCCTCTTGCAGGGTTTTTTCCTTTGTTTTTGTTTTCCTGCCTGGTGGGGGAGGGGTCTGCCTTTGGTTCATTTCCCCTCTAACTATATCTTAGGTTTCTATTTTTGTGTTCTAGGTGGTACCCCCTGCTAGGTTCCCCATGAGTGGACACGTCCCATGAGTTCAGCTTCTAGAAAGTTTGTTTGTAGATTTGGGTGGCGGTTAGCAGTACCCTACCTGGGCTTCCCTGAGCGCGAGTTCCATCTCAGGACCCTAGGAATCCCCACGGGGGCGCGTGGGTCTGATGGATGTGACCCCTGAGTCCCCCTCATTTTGTGCAAGTTTGAGGGTTGCTCTGTCCCCTTGTCTCAAGGTGACTTTGTTTTTTCCTTTGTCACGCTGCCTGCTGGGTCAGTGACAACTTTGACCCGGAGTCCTGCGAGTTTTGTTGCTTGTTTGTGACTGTTTACCCAGTTCACTGATGACTCTATTCGGATACAGACAGCACAGGCGTTGCACGTTAATTTTGGGTTGTTGCAACACGGCCATTGCAGCTTACCTCCTTCACGACCCCGATTATGCCTCTAATGGATCCGTCTTCGATCAAGTTTGGGTCTTCGTCTCCATACTGGGTTCGTTATGCGGTTCCAGAGTCATCCTGCCTAGCGAACTGCCCTGTGTTGTCGTTGGAGGCTTGGAGTACTTTGTCATACCACACGCTTGAGTGGCGCTAGGCGTTTACAGTGGTCCAGGTTTACCTGGGGGGGGGGGGCATATTCGAGCACCTCAATATGTATTTGTTCGCCCCTGCCCTTCAGCGGGATGTTGGTGGGGTTCAGCTTCACGTGCAGGTTCCCCCCCTTTCAGCTGCACTGGTGGCTGAGGGCTTGCACGCTCGTGGCCTGCTGGATTTGGTCTTGCACGTCTTTACCTCCTGGGGCTGTCTTCGGATTGGCTTCGGGAGGATGTGGAGGCGCTTGGGGCCGTTCCTGGGTCTGGTGCCTTGGTCTCGGCGGCATGTGTCATCTGAACTGCTGGACCTGTTTGCGCTGATCCTGCGGGATGCGGTGTCACAGCTATTGCCTCGCGTTTCGCGTGTCGGCTAGTGGTGCTCGCTTCCTCGTTGGAATCTGCCTGGGCCTTGGCTCTTAGGTTTTCATTGCCATTTTGTCCTTTGTTGTTTGCAGAGTCTGCGGTTGGGCATTTCTGCCCAACCGAAGCAGTCTCTCTGCTTCGGCTGGGCTCCTGCCTTCGTTTGTTTGGTGGGCTCCCGGGTCCCTTGGCAGTTGCGAGGGTTTGTGTGGGAGCCTGACCTTTGCCGTGGTGGCCTACCCACTGGGTCGGGTTTGGCTTCGTCAGTTGTTCTGGTTCCTTTGAAGACTTCCCTTCCGCCTCTCTCGCAACTGCTGGGTTCGGCCTCCGGGGGCCTTGGGTCAGCTGCTGCGTTGCCGACTTCCTCTTCGGGTTTCTCAGAGTTCAGTGCCTTAGTGCCTATCCGAGCCCTCACTCAATGTGTTCACGGATGCATCATCTTTTGTCTGGGGCTTTGTGACCTGTGCTTGCCAGACCAGCCAGGGGCGGTGGGGTCCGTCCTTCGTCGGGCACACAGTTCGCGGCGGTGTGGGTGTCGCTTCGTAGGGTTCGGGTCGCTCATGGATCGATGATTGGGCTCCATTCGGACTGCTCCCTGGTGGTTCATTGCCTGAACCGAGGGGGTTCGATGCAGTCCTTGGCTCTTTGGGGCTGGTCTCTTCGGATGATGTGACCAGCCGAGTCGCGGAGGGCCCAGCCTTGGTTTCAGGTGCTGCTTGCTCGGTGTCCAAACCCAGGGGTTTTCCCGTGGTTCCGCCTCTTTCAGGTGATTGGTCTGGTCCGTTACATGGCTGATTCAGTCTTCTCCTCGAGGCTTCGCATTTGGTAATTTTGACTTGTCTATCACCATCTGTTTGGTGATCAGGTAGCTTCATTGATGGTGTCCCTCTTGTGTGCTTCGTCTTTGAAGCAGTATGTGGTTTACTGGCGGTCTTTCCTTTTTTTTTTTGTCTCTTCATAGGTATACTACACTTTTTGTTGAGGTGGTCTTGTTTTTTCTCTCGTGGCCGTTCATCTTATGCCGCATGCTGTCACCTCATATTGTGCGGCGCTGGTGGAGCCACTATGGCTTGCTTTTGGTTTTGATGTTCCTTCTGCACCATTTCGCGAGCTGTCTCGGGCGTTGTTTCACCTCCAGCCTGCTCATGCACCACCTGAGCCATCCTGGTCTTTAGACAAGGTGCTCTCTTATCCCCTCGGTTTGTTGTGGCCCCTTCAGTTCTGGATTGCTCCTCAGAGGTTTCTGCTCCTTTGGGTTCTGATGATCGGTTTGTTAGTTTGCAGCTATCTTCTTTTCTGGTGAAGTTGGGACTGCTATTTTCCGGAGGGGTCCCTTGGGGTAGATGCTTGGTTGGTTTGGCCGGGGGGAAGAGTACATCATCTTGTGTCCGGTTGTTGATCTCAGCCATTAACCGTGTGCCGCGGCCTCTTGTGACCCTGGACGTGCTTTGGGTTGACCCAGGGTTCCCTTTGTCCATGTTCCAGGGTTCGGATCTCCTGGGTCGTCTGCAGGGGGTCATTCAATGTTGCCAGTTGTCTTGCTTTTGAGTTTCGGGCATGTGGTTTCCACTTCCTGGGTTTGTCCCTCTTTTGCCCTTGTCTTTGGGTTTATAGCTCCAGGGAGCCAAAGGGGCTCCCCCCCCCCTCCCCCCAGAAAACCAGCATTGAATGTAATGAAATGCCATTTTCTGGGTGAGACCAGGATGCTCCCTGGCATCCCTCCCTCCCTTCCGGTCGGCGGCGCTTTCGCGTGTTTTGACATAGAGCCTCAGAACTGAAGGTGTGAGTTGCTGGTGCGAGGGGTCTGGGGCTCCACTTTCTCCTCCCAAAAAGGGGGCGAGCTGCGCAGACGACAGTGCGGCAGATGGTGACGTCATGCTTGTTTGCTCATTTTTCTTTGGGGAGTTCTGTCCACTCATTTGACTTTCAGTAGTAATTTCAAGCAGAATAGTGGTTTGTTTTGGGATACTTATCTTTCTGGGTGCCTGACCCGGTCGATGGCAAACACACAATGCTCCAAATCACACGTGCTATTCTATAGGCCATTGCTCCTCGTACCTCTCTGAGGGGGCCAAGTTCTGGCTCATGGTCCCCAGTAGGCCTATGAACTCCATTCACACTGATGCCAAAGTCTCATATATATCATATCATCCTGGAGAGCTCCGGGGAGCCTCTGGGTCTCGCTCAGAATATGGCTTTTCATTACATTAAACGCTGGTTTTTTTTTTCAGTGTGTTAACGGGTATCTTCATGTACGACTTGGTGCTACCAGGTGGTGTGACGTCTCTCTACCCTAGTAGCTCCGAGTTTATAGACTATGTACTTCCTCAGCTAGCAATACTGATCCAGGAACCGGGCTCAAGCATGGCCCATGATTGTGACTTAGATAATTCAAAATGTGATCCATCACTCCCATTGTCTCAAGACATCCTCTCTTCTCAACATCCTAATGGTACGGTGTTTAGTGAAAGGGTTGTCCCATCAATGATGGATTTGCAAAGTTCCTCACTTATGAGCAATGATAGTTTAAATAAAGTGCTTAATTCCATGCATATTGATGGAACTTCCCAACTCTCCTTAATAAATCCATTGACAAACCACCTTGCCAGCCTGGAGTCTTCTAATCTTCTGGCTGGACATGAAAACAAGGATGCTCTCAGGGTTAGTGCAAAACTGAAGCTCAGAGAAAACTGTGATATATCTAGTGATGTTATATGTGAACCTGTTAATGTAATACCTTCGCATTCTCTTAGTGATATAAAGAACAATATTCATGAGAATCACATCAAAAGTCCAGCAAATGGATGTTTTGGGGGCAGTGAAGAACGAAAAGCAACTGTGCGTCTGATGAACACTGTGTGTCGATGGCTTGTTGGCCAGATGGGACGCTGCTACAATGGTGTCACTCCAGAAATTTACAGGTAAATTTGAAATTTAACTTACTTTCATATGAATTTTATTGTCATTTAGCCCTTGCACTGCATAGCAATGTACCTATCCTGCACAGGAAGAGAAAATAATTCTTCTAATTTGGTTTACACATTGGCTGTAATGCCTAGTTTTCATCTTTATTCTCGGTCAAAATATGGTAAAAATTAGTTGTGAATTTTTCATTTTTCATTACATATTTACGTGTCTTCTTGAAGGGCATGACAATAATCTAAGTTTCTTATCCTTACTATTATCTTAGCATCATCAGCAAACATGTTCATATAATTCCGTATACCAACTGGTAGATCATTTATGTAGACAATGAACATCACTGGTGCAAGAACTGAATCCTGTGGTACTCCACTTGACATTTCTCCAGTCTGATACATTGCCTCTGATTACTGCCCTCATTTTTCTATCAGTCAGAAAATCTTTTATCCATGTTAGAAGCTTACCTGTCACTCCTGCAATATTTTCCAGTTTCCAGAACAACCTCTTATGTGAAACTCTGTCGAAAGCCTTTTTTAGGTCCAGATAGATGCAGTCAACCCAACCATCTCTTTTCTGTAAAATCTCTGTGGCTCGATCATAGAAACTGAGTAGATTCGATACACAGGATCTTTCAGATCGAAAACCATACTGTCTGATATTATATAATTTATCTCCAGGTGTTCTACCCATTTAGTTTTTATTATTTTTTCCAATATTTTCACTATTACACTTGTCAATGATACTGTACGGGTCTATAATTAAGGGGGTCTTCCCTGCTGCCACTTTTGTAGATTGGAACTATGTTAGACTTTTTCCACACGCAAATAAGTGAGCAGCTATTCCGTCCTGAAGATGGATCATGGTCTCTTTTGTTATTACAAGATAAAGGCTGTTGTTTCCCTGGTGGGCTCAATCATGTGCTGTATGAAAATGGAGTCTTGTACTAGGTCAAGAAACTGCTCTTCTGTTTGTGATGTTAGTCACCCAGACTATTAGCTTGTGGGTAAAATCCCCCATTATAAGAGTTTTTGCTTCAGTTGCTTCCTTTATCACATGATGCAGGTCTGTAACTTACAACCCCTGCCATTACTATGTCTATTTTATAACATATTCACACTATCAGTTTACTACCATTTTTTATTATTATATTGCTTAATACAGATTCTGAACATCCCATATTATTCATTTCCTTACCAGCAAATTCTCAAGTTTTTCCAGGCTTGAGTGTCATGATGTTGGCCTTGCCAGATCTCTGGTTTACTAGTGCTCTCATCTGATGACAAAAAAGATAAAGCAACAGGGTGGTATTTTGGTTATTTATTATATTTTTTAGTTAGGTTTGATACAAACAAATGGCAAACTGTTCCTATTGAGTGAGAGTTTTGTGACTCCTGTTCTGCTAATTTGGCAAGGTTTTCTGATAAGTGATGTCTTATGAATCCAACAACTGCTCCCAGTGGGCCTTGAATTGGCTAGATGACTGCTGTTATGGTTTTGGCCTTGGATACTGGTCCATAAGCTCTAAGGAGCCACTGAGAGGGGAACATTTTCTTTTAGTTAAAGCACTTAATTTTTATTATGTTCTCAGTACACTGATAACTTTCAACATACCTATTCTCTTTGTATTCAGGCTTCTCCCTCACCTGTGTCAGTTGGAGAGTGTTGACAATGATCCAGAGCTTCGTGGTAATTGTGTGGCAACATTAGCTGTCATAAGTCAAGCTCTTGTTCTTCCAGCTCGTGTTCCAGCACTCATGGATGCCATCACACAGGTAGCTAAGAGCAGGTATGTTAATAAAACCAACTTAATTCTGATTAATGTTAATTCAACTAATTAATGTTAATTCTGATAAAAAAAAAAGAGATCTAGGTGTGGTTCTAGATAGAAAACTATCACCTGAGGATCACATAAAGAAAATTGTGCGGGGGAGCCTGTGCTACACTTTCTAACTTCAGAATTGCTTTTAAATACATGGATGGCGAAATACTAAAGAAATTGTTCACGACTTTTGTTAGACCAAAGCTGGAATATGCAGCGGTTGTATGGTGCCCACATCTTAAGAAGCACGTCAACAGACTGGAAAGGGTGCAAAGACATACAACTAAATGGCTCCCAGAACTGAAGGACAAGAGCTATGAGGAGAGACATTAAATATGCCAAAACTAGAAGATAGAAAAAGAGACGACGATATGATCACTGCGTACAAATAGTAACACGAATTGATAAAATTAACAGGGAAGAATTCCTGAGACCTGGAACTTCAAGAACAAGAGGTCATAGATTTAAACAAAGATGCCAAAAAATGTAAGAAAATTCACTTTTGTGAACAGTGTTAACGGTTAGAACAAGTTAGGTGAGGTGGTGGCCAAAACTGTCAATAATTTCAAAGCATTTTATGACAGTGGTGGGAAGACGGAACATCACGAGCGTAGCTCTCATTCTGTAACTACACTTAGGTAATTACTCTCTCTCTTACACAGAGGAAGATAGTAGGAGGCTAAACGACTATACACATTACGGTGCGGTGCGCCAATTGGTGCTCGCTCACGAGTAACTTTAGGCTTTGCTAAAGGGACTTATGCCGGGCTTTTGGACAATATATGCATATACACCTGCAGGGAATTTAATTGCGAACACAATGATACCAAAACAAAGGACATGGCACGAGAATTAAGGTGAGAAAACGGAAAAGAGTATACCCATTGTACTGATTTTGTGCGTTCACGGGTAACTTTTGCAGACTTTAGGCTTTGCTGTGGAGAGTCATGCCGGGCTTTTAGACATTATATGCAGATACACCTGTACAGAATTCTATTGCGAACACAATGATACCAAAACAAACAACGTAGCATGAGGATTAAGGTGAGAAAACTGAAACGAGTATACACATTTTGGTGTCGCCGTGCGCTCGCCCGCACTGCCGGGAGCGTGACCACAAAGTTTTTTTTGCACGCTCCCGGAGTGTGAGTGTGTTAAGAAAATGTGTTAAGTATGGGAAGAACTGCAAAGTTTTCTTGAAAACACTCGCCCAGATAAAGGTGTAGCAGGCTGTTGCATAGACCATTTAAATGACAATGTGGTCTCACTACAGACAAGTGTTAAAATGTAGGTAAAAACAAGTGTCTTTAGACAGATTCTTAGTAAGGTAAGCAAGCAGTGAGCCAGAACCAGGTCCTAGTAGTACTCCTGCAAAACAGGAGAGGGAGTACCCCAGAGAAGTCATCACTGCCTGATGTTATAATGGAAGGGGACTCCCCTTCCAAACATTAACACCTCTCCCCCCCCCCCCCCCAACCATCTTTCATACATCAACACGAGTCATCAATTAGGGGTAAGGAATATCCTGTACATACTTTAGTACTAAAGATTTAGGTGAATTAGGTATAAAATTTACTTTGAAGTTAATATTTTTGGGAGTGTGGAACGAATTAATTCAATTTACATTATTTCTTACGAGAAAATTCGCTTCGGTTTACAAGTTTTCGGGTTATGAATCGTCTCTGGGAACGGATTAAGTTTGTAAGCTGAGGTATCACTGTATATGATTACATATGTATGAGCAGATACAGTAGTTAACATTTTATTTTTCCATCATCAGTTGGTGGCGTGCCCGAGCTGCAGTATTGTCACTGCTACAGGTGGCTGTGTTTACCAACATGTTTACGATCCTAAGTGATAACAGAGCTCCACAACAAGTACAAGAGCTGGTTGTGGGTCTCTTGTCTGATGTGAGACTGGAGGTGCAGCAGATGGCCTCTACTGTTCTGAGTGGACTTATACATTGTAAATTCATTCACGCCGAGGACAAACTCTTGGTAGGATATTTTGTTGTCTCTTATTTGTATCAAATATTTGCCACCTTGGCTAGCAGGGTGGCAGGTTCAGTCTCCTTCAAGCATTTCTATCCCGAGACATTTCCTCAAACTATACAGATATCACTGCAACTAATATACTGTACTCTCCTTTTTCACCATGCTTTTGGCCTCCCTTTTCTTCTCCCATTTGTATATTGCAGAGCAAATAACAGTTTACAACCCAATCACAAAAGCATCCAAAAAGTCAGTGAATCTTTGCAGATAACTGGAGGGTTCATAGGAAATGAAACTTTCAAATGGCAAATAGCTCCAAACAATTCACACATCAAATAACTCAAACTTACTCATAAGACTCTAGTATTGATTGCCACCACCAGGTGGCCCAGTCCCTGCCCCCAACCCTTGGTCCCCGGTAGGCCAATAGAACTCCGCAACTGATGGCACCTAGTAGTATGTATCAGGGATAGGGGATTTTATATCTTGAACTCTACTTATCTTCTAACAAACAAACCCCCTCTACCACTTCCCTGTTAATATAAGATTAAAACCACGGCAACTACTACTTACTGCTGCTGTTGTCAATCAGCAATGGACACTGGAGTGCATATTGGAAGATCACCTTGAAATCTGTTGTCATGGAGAGGGATTACCTTTGTCAATGTTACTTTTACTTGGAGAAATGGCTCCTATCTGGCCTATTTATCATGAATACACACCCTCGTCGAGCTGCCATGACTCGCCCCCACACTCCTTGTTTTGGGATTATCTTCTAATTATCCCTCATGATATTACTGTTCAATGTCAACCAATTTGCAGCCATATATATATATATATATATATATATATATATGTCGTACCTAGTAGCCAGAACTCACTTCTCAGCCTACTATGCAAGGCCCGATTTGCCTAATAAGCCAAGTTTTCATGAATTAATGTTTTTTCGTCTACCTAACCTACCTAACCTAACCTAACCTAGCTTTTTTTGGCTACCTAACCTAACCTTACCAATATATATATAGGTTAGGTTAGGTAGGGTTGGTTAGGTTCGGTCATATATCTACGTTAATTTTAACTCCAATAAAAAAAAATTGACCTCATACATAGTGAAAAGGGTAGCTTTAACATTTCATAAGAAAAAAATTATAGTAAATATATTAATTCAGGAAAACTTGGCTTATTAGGCAAATCGGGCCTTGAATAGTAGGCTGAGAAGTGAGTTCTGGCTACTAGGTACGACATATATATATATATATATATAGGTACGACATATATATATATATATATATATATATATGTCGTACCTAGTAGCCAGAACTCACTTCTCAGCCTACTATTCAAGGCCCGATTTGCCTAATAAGCCAAGTTTTCCTGAATTAATATATTTACTATAATTTTTTTCTTATGAAATGATAAAGCAACCCTTTTCTCTATGTATGAGGTCAATTTTTTTTTTATTGGAGTTAAAATTAACGTAGATATATGACCGAACCTAACCAACCCTACCTAACCTAACCTAACCTATATTTATAGGTAAGGTTAGGATAGGTAGCCAAAAAAAGCTAGGTTAGGTTAGGTTAGGTAGGTTAGGTAGACGAAAAAACATTAATTCATGAAAACTTGGCTTATTAGGCAAATCGGGCCTTGAATAGTAGGCTGAGAAGTGCGTTCTGGCTATTAGGTACGACATATATATATATATATATATATATATATATATATATATATATATATATATATATATATATATATATATATATATATATATATATATATATATATATATATATATATATATATATATATATATATATATATATATATATATATATATATATATATATATTATTTTTTATTAAATATGACCGAAAAAGTAAGATTAATAATTCTAACACGAATTTTCTCAATCTTTCGTACATTACGCTTCACTGTTGGAGGTAAATCAAAAATCACTTCTCCAAAATTCATTTTTATTTCTAGTCTGACGCGACACGGGCGCGTTTCGTAAAACTTATTACATTTTCAAAGACTTCACAAATACACAACTGATTAGAACGTATCTCTGATTTTATATCTACATTTGAGTGAGGTGGGAAGGGTGATGTGGCATTAACACAAGACAGAACAGGAGGGGATATTAATAGGGTATTAAAAGTATCAACACAAGACAGAACAGAAACAATGGGTATTGAATAGAAGTGTTTGTAGAAAGCCTATTGGTCCATATTTCTTGATGCTTCTATATTGGAGCGGAGTCTTGAGGTGGGTAGAATATAGTTGTGCAATAATTGGCTGTTGATTGCTGGTGTTGACTTCTTGATGTGTAGTGCCTCGCAAACGTCAAGCCGCCTGCTATCGCTGTATCTATCGATGATTTCTGTGTTGTTTACTAGGATTTCTCTGGCGATGGTTTGGTTATGGGAAGAGATTATATGTTCCTTAATGGAGCCCTGTTGCTTATGCATCGTTAAACGCCTAGAAAGAGATGTTGTTGTCTTGCCTATATACTGGGTTTTTTGGAGCTTACAGTCCCCAAGTGGGCATTTGAAGGCATAGACGACATTAGTCTCTTTTAAAGCGTTCTGTTTTGTGTCTGGAGAGTTTCTCATGAGTAGGCTGGCCGTTTTTCTGGTTTTATAGTAAATCGTCAGTTGTATCCTCTGATTTTTGTCTGTAGGGATAACGTTTCTATTAACAATATCTTTCAGGACCCTTTCCTCCGTTTTATGAGCTGTGGAAAAGAAGTTCCTGTAAAATAGTCTAATAGGGGGTATAGGTGTTGTGTTAGTTGTCTCTTCAGAGGTTGCATGGCTTTTCACTTTCCTTCTTATGATGTCTTCGATGAAACCATTGGAGAAGCCGTTATTGACTAGGACCTGCCTTACCCTACAGAGAACTCTGTAGGGTAAGGCAGGTCCTAGTCAATAACGGCTTCTCCAATGGTTTCATCGAAGACATCATAAGAAGGAAAGTGAAAAGCCATGCAACCTCTGAAGAGACAACTAACACAACACCTATACCCCCTATTAGACTATTTTACAGGAACTTCTTTTCCACAGCTCATAAAACGGAGGAAAGGGTCCTGAAAGATATTGTTAATAGAAACGTTATCCCTACAGACAAAATCAGAGGATACAACTGACGATTTACTATAAAACCAGAAAAACGGCCAGCCTACTCATGAGAAACTCTCCAGACACAAAACAGAACGCTTTAAAAGAGACTAATGTCGTTTATGCCTTCAAATGCCCACTTGGGGACTGTAAGCTCCAAAAAACCCAGTATATAGGCAAGACAACAACATCTCTTTCTAGGCGTTTAACGATGCATAAGCAACAGGGCTCCATTAAGGAACATATAATCTCTTCCCATAACCAAACCATCCCCAGAGAAATCCTAGTAAACAACACAGAAATCATCGATAGATACAGCGATAGCAGGCGGCTTGACGTTTGCGAGGCACTACACATCAAGAAGTCAACACCAGCAATCAACAGCCAATTATTGCACAACTATATTCTACCCACCTCAAGACTCCGCTCCAATATAGAAGCATCAAGAAATATGGACCAATAGGCTTTCTACAAACACTTCTATTCAATACCCATTGTTTCTGTTCTGTCTTGTGTTGATACTTTTAATACCCTATTAATATCCCCTCCTGTTCTGTCTTGTGTTAATGCCACATCACCCTTCCCACCTCACTCAAATGTAGATATAAAATCAGAGATACGTTCTAATCAGTTGTGTATTTGTGAAGTCTTTGAAAATGTAATAAGTTTTACGAAACGCGCCCGTGTCGCGTCAGACTAGAAATAAAAATGAATTTTGGAGAAGTGATTTTTGATTTACCTCCAACAGTGAAGCGTAATGTACGAAAGATTGAGAAAATTCGTGTTAGAATTATTAATCTTACTTTTTCGGTCATATTTAATAATATATGTCTACAGGAAAGACTGCTACCAAAATATACTAATATATATATATATATATATATATATATATATATATATATATATATATATATATATATATATATATATATATATATATATATATCTCTCTCTCTATATCTCTATATGGCTGGCTGCCTGGCTGCCTGCTGCCTGCTGCCTGCCTGCTGCCTGCTGCTCTCTCCTCTCTCTCTCTCCCTCTCTCCTCCCTCCCTCCCTCCCTCTCTCCTCTCCCCTCCTCCCTCTCCTCTCCTCCTCTCCTCCTCTCTCTCCTCTCCTCCTGCCTGCCTGCCTGCCTGCCTGCCTGCCTGCCTGCCTGCCTGCCTGCCTGCCTGCCTCCCTCCCTCCCTCCTGCCTGCCTCCCCTCCTGCCTGCCTGCCTGCCTCCCTCCCTGCCTGCCTGCCTGCCTGCCTCCCTCCCTGCCTCCCCTCCCTCCCTCCCTCCCTCCTGCCTCCTGCCTCCCTCCCTCCCTCCCTCCCTCCCTCCCTCCCTCCCTCCCTCCCTCCCTCCCTCCCTCCCTCCCTCCCTCCCTCCCTCCCTCCCTCCCTCCCTCCCTCCTTCCCTTCCTTCCTCCCCTCCCTTCCTTCCTTCCTTCCTTCCTTCCTTCCTTCCCTTCCTTCCTTCCTTCCTTCCTTCCTTCCTTCCTTCCTAGAAATCTTCACCAGGACAAGAGCAAAAATCAGTTGTCTACAGACATTACATGAATATACAGTATCCACTCAATTTAACGGCCTCTTTTATACCGATCAGCCGGTATTAACGACCGGTATCTGGAGCCTGCTATACCGATCTGCAGTCGATATTACCGACAGTCTGTCGGTATTGGGTTTGTTGTGGCATCAGCGTCCCCTCACATGGCGACCAGGCCACCGACCTGGATCGTCCAGAGTCATATATTACATCTTAATTTTCTTTTAAAATGATTCACTTTAATGAAGAAAATTTTAAATTATTATTAATAAAATATTTCGAAACAGTTTTTATTAACCAAAAGTCTTTGTTTTCTTATTAAATACCTTTTATAGTATAGGCACTAGGTATTTTTTCCCACGGACCTAGAATGTACTCCGCCGGGCCATGTGTTTCCATTGTTTACTCTGAACTCGCGCGGCTAGCTTCAATTGTGAAGGATATTACTGTACTGTAATTGTGATCTTCTTTTTAATTTACAAAAATGCCAAAAGTTACCCAAAGGAAGTGCCTGACGGTTGCACAGAAGCTGGAGTTAAGAAACTTGATAAAGGATATTCTCATGCACGAGCAGCAGCAGAGTTTAACATCGGGAAAAGTGCAGTAAGTGACATCAAGAAACAGAAGGATACTCTATTAAAATATGCCTGAAAATAAGGGTACATACAGTATGTACCCTGTATACAATATAAACAATATAAAATAAGCGCTGCAGAGGATGACGTAATCTTCACAGCTTCGTAATCTTCAGCTTCATTAAAAGTACTGTAAGTCAATTTACCAATTTTATTATAGTATTACAAGATATTAATTGTTTTTTTTTCAATAAAAGCTACATATTAGTCTCTGCAAATGTATATTCTATCGTCAGCAGAGAATAGATGAGCTCAAAATATTTCGTCTTGGCTAGCTCTCAGTGACAAGGCTCGATCGCCATTGTTATGGCATGGCCGCCACAACCTGTGTTGTAACATTAAAAATACATTACCTGCACTGTTCAGGGTAAATCAAAACACATCTCTAAAATATTATTGAGGAAATATTAACTTGCTGATTGATACATGAAATATTTTGCAATACAAAGGAATGAATCAATTTTTTCCCACCCATCTGGGCTTGATCAGACCGTGTTCACACATCATCCATGCAGCAGCCAACAACTGGCTTAATCGTCGGTGTGGCACTAAATTGGAATGCAATTACACAATGAACTTTATTTATTTTTAGTTATACAGTATAAAATATATCCTACCTGAATGTTACTTGAAAAATTACCCGACCCGACTTAACTTCGGAAATAACGGAGCTCCGGAAATAACGACTAGGGCTCAGCCCCATATAGGCTGTTAAATTGAGTGGATACGTATATAATATTACAGTACATAGGATTCTACAAACCAGCAACCACCTATATAATATCAGTTCTTCACCAAATAAACTGCACTAGGCTTCTGCTAAATTTCTGCCCTCAGCCTTTTTGCCCTCTCACTACTTGTGGCTGAGTAACTTGCATATAAAATATCTCCAATAAGGAAAAATAATCACTTTCTCACCTTACATTGCATTAGTCATGCCATATGCATTCAAGCACTCCCTCAAACATATCATGGTGTCCATACAATTCTCTGTTCTGCATCCTGAGGGCACACCATAAGAACATCTGTCTCTGGGTCCTCAAAATCAGGTAGGTACTCCTGCAGTCTCTTCAATACTTGCTGCTACTTAGTCCCACTCAATGCCTGTGAAGTTCCTCTATGCAGCTTCACAAAAACATGTGTAGTGCCACTACACTTAAAGTTCCACTCTACCACTGAAGCTCCACTCTACCACTGAAGCTCCACTCTACCACTGAAGTTCACTCACTTCACTTCACTCACTTCACTTCACTTCACTCACTTCACTTCACTCAGTTCTCTCTATCACAATAGCATAATGCATCATGCTATTGTGATGCATCTATTGTGATTTCTGTGTGTAATGAAGTAAGGATGAAGAGGTAGAACGGCCTATTGATATAGCTCGAGTGCATGGGGGGATTGTGTAAAACCCTGGTTTATGTCTTGGAGAGGCTGCAGGCCCCAAGTAAGTTCAGTAGAACTAATGGTTTCAATTCTTTTGACCATGTCGTAGCTCAGTCGATTAAGGCAGCATCTGGGTTGCTCTCAGACGTAGGTTCGAATCCTCGTCACAGCCCTTGTGGATTTGTTCATTTGATACATCACTTTATTGTGATTTCTGTGTGTAATAATTTTTTGTTCTTGATTTGTTTCTCAGACCTAACACACAACTATACAAATCTACTTTTGAAGATGAAAAATCCCCAAATCCATGTGTACTTTTCGTTTTGTAGGAAGAAATTTTGTGAATGTAATACACCAGAACCGTCTTCCCACCCCAATATTGCAAAGGATGCAAGTGTTTTAATATTGTTAAAAATTATTACCAATTAACTGTACCTGTATTTCATTTTTATTTTTAGGGAGACTTCACTTCCAAGCTACAGAATGGCCGTGATGAAAAGAGAAGACCAAAACAACCATTAAAGACCCTAGATGTTATAGAGTTACATGCAGGAGTTTTAGGGTTGTGTGCTTATGTCAGTGCCTTCCCATATGATGTCCCAGACATGATGCCTCAGGTTTTAGTTACACTTAGTGAACATCTCAACGACCCACATCCTGTACCTGTGAGTTACAATTGCACTTATCATTTATATTTTTTCATTAGGCTGTGATATTTTAAGATTTTAATGTAAAGTTACATCATGTGGAAGAAAAATTAGTGCTAATGAATTTAGAGTATTAATTCTACAGATTCTAGATAGAAGAGAGCCTTGAGGCACTGAATCGAGGGTGCACAGAGTGCCATGTGGTGTTTGTAGGTACAGTATAGGGAGTGATTTAAAACTCCCGTGGGTACACGGGGCTCACATCCTGTGCCACAGGACTCCTGTAAACTGACGCCAACTTGGATAAAAATCGTCAGCATCTGGGCCTCGTAGCCTGGTGGATAGCGCGCAGGACTCGTAATTCTGTGGCGCGGGTTCGATTCCCGCACGAGGCAGAAACAAATGGGCAAAAGTTTCTTTCACCCTGAATGCCCCTGTTACCTAGCAGTAAATAGGTACCTGGAAGTTAGTCAGCTGTCACGGGCTGCTTCCTGGGGGTGGAGGCCTGGTCGAGGACCGGGCCGCGGGGACACTAAAAGCCCCCGAAATCATCTCAAGATAAGATCTGTGCTGGCTGAAACAGCCTTGGTACTGAAAGAGCGACCAAGGCACATAAGGGGCATAACTGGCCGACCCCTCTCAGTGTTCAAAAGAGAACTGGATAAGCACCTCCAAAGGACACCTGATCAACCAGGCTGTGATTTGTACGTCAGGCTGAGAGCAGCCGCATCCAACAGCCTGGTTGACCAGTCCAGCAACCAGGAGGCCTGGTCGACGACCGGGCCGCGGGGACGGTAAACTCCGGAAGCACCTCAAGGTAAGGTTGGCGCATGGAGGACCTGTGCACAGCACAGCTGTGCAGCTAGGGGCCACAGCACCAATTAGTAATGACGACCAAAATAGGTAAAGAAATTATTTTGCGTTGATAGTGTTGTAGATGATCCTGACTGATAGACTATGTACAACATTCAGATATCGGTGAACACAATGTTAGTTACGATATTCACAGCATGAGGTAGAGAGAGACAGCATCCAGCCATTATTTCCTGCATCTACGCATCATGAAATGACCTTATGTTCCATCACCAATGTTCATTTTGTTATGAATATGGATTCATATTCGGGATTTTGTAACAAATGTGATAATAACGGCAGTTTTGTAGCTAGGCATAACGAGATGAGTAGAATATTGGAGGCATTGTTTTGCACCATGTAACTGCAGGCATCATCTGCTTGTGGCTCCATGCTGTACTAAAGTACAGTATTTTGATTTCATCACCATTCTCACCAGAACTGATTATAAGTATTAAATGGAGCCTGACAGCTGAATGGACGGCGCTTCAGATTCGTAGTCCTGAGGTTCCGGGTTCGATCCCCGGTGGAGGCGGAAACAAATGGGCAGTTTCTTTCACCCTGATTCCCCTGTTCTCCTAGCAGTATGTAGGTACCTGGGAGTTAGACAGCTGCTATGGGCTGCTTCCTGGGAGTGTGTAACGAAAAGTAGACCTGGTCAAGGACCGGGCCGCGGGGATGCTAAGCCCCGAAATCATCTCAAGATAACAAAGATAGTAGGTTTTGGTGCATATAAATGTTGATAGTGATATACAGAGGATCACTTGGTTTGTGAACCCCTTGGGAACAAGGGGTTCCCAAGAACAAGTCGACGACACCATCGGATGTAGAGTCGCATTCTTCGATGAAATTTACATCGTAACTCGAAATTATCGTAAGTAGGGGCAATTGTATGTCGAGGTGCCACTGTATTTGAATTTTTTGAAATGCTGTACATGCACCACTACAATGGCCCTGTCATAGAATTCATGACAAATAACCAGTAATCTTGGCAAAGTTCTAATTAACTCTGTTACCAAAGAATATTTGATACAATGATGATATTAGGACTGCATGTTTACTGTGTGTGTGCTTGCCAACATCATCAATGTATGTTGTGACTGCCTCTCTGGCTAGAGTGTTGGTGAATAGTCCTGTGATTTTATGTAAGGCACAGAACCACTCAGTGTTCAAGTCAGTGCAGTTGAATAGGTGGCATGTGTTCAGTTCTGTATATTTCTTGGTCTGCTTTGAGGTTATCTTATTTATTATATTTTCATGTTGAGTTAATTTTCTTATTTTTGTCACAGGCAACTATAAAGAAGACCCTCAGCAATTTTCGAAGGACACATCATGACAACTGGAGAGACCATAAGCAGAAATTTACCGAGGACCAGTTGGTAGTACTGACAGATCTGCTGCTCTCCCCTTCTTATTATGCCTAACATGATACATTGTCTTAATAACTCGAATATCATTTGTGGAAACCTTATACTTGATTCAAGTCAATGTGGCTAAAGTATTTTATGATCCCTAAGAGATGTAGCACATGTAAGCAAGCAGTTTTCTTATTTTACCTTCATGTGTGGGAGGAGTTGCATTAACCAGGGTGTCAGGTTACTCTGTTGGTGTGCTCTCCTGGTTTTGTATGCAATTAAGCTACTGTATGGCAAGTTAATGTTAGCTGAAAATGCAAATTAAGTTTATATTGGTAAAGACATTGTAACTTCTTGAAAGTTTGTATAAATTTTTTAACTAAATTAAATATTATGATAACTAGCTTTTTGCCACTGAAGCATACAACTGGATGTCTTACTCATATCATTCACAGCACATTTTAAACATTGACTGCCTGGAATAAGTGCAGCCCATTTTGATATTAGAGTTAAATGTTCAGAGTTAGCATAAAGAATTTGTAATGCGGAGCACTTACTGAGTACCATATTGGTTAGTTGACAGTACAGTTCGATCAAACATTATTAATAAGGCATTGAAAATTTCAGTGATGCCGAGGTTAGTGCTTACAGATAACATTAATCTGAGGTTTGGAATGGTTTCCTATTACTATAGTAGAACTGTGTTCTTTGATTGTTACATTATCCTCATTAATTGTAAATTGCTTTTCTTTCACTTTATGTAGCAGACAGATTTAGTTTTTCTGCTCGCAGACATTACGTTAGTGAAGATAGCTCAGCTCTTCTCCAACTTTCTTGTGGGTCGTCATCACCATCTCGGTTTGTAGCTCTTAGGTATAACGTGATCATTCGTAAAGCACAAGTTTGTGGTACTTGTTTCTAAAGATTTTGTTTGTTTTACGATATATAACAGCATGAAGTTTGGACTTTTGTCCTAGGGCATCACTAAAGCATCTGCTCTTCATTGCTTTTTATGATTTATTCAAGTAATTAATTTTTAAAGCAATTTGTTGTATTAGATTATTTAAAAATTTACCAGTGCCATTAGCAAGAACTACTACTCCATGATATTGCATTACTGATATTTAGTTGTATCTTTCACATTGGTATCTCTGTTACTGTTGTTTCACTTGCACAAAGACAAGTTAGCTCTCGGTAATTTGTCATACGCAACTTTATCCCGTCCTCACAGTATGTGAAGTGTCAAATGTTGACACTTACCATGCATAAAGTGTCGATCTATTCTAGGCTATCTGTGGCCAATACTCATTAGTCCTAGCAAACAGCACAATAGTGACATGAGAATTCAGAACATCTTTTTTTATTGCATGGTATCCAGTTGATGTAAACTTCATTATTTTTAAAATGTGAACCAAGTTAGGTAATGTGTGCGTATTTATGTATATATGCTCTTATTCAGTTTAAATCTTTAAGGTTAGAGTAATGACCTACAATTAGCCAGAATTGGAAATATTCAATAAAAAACAAAATTATGGGAACCTAAATAACTTCAAAGATTTAGATGAAAATTCAAGATTTTAGCTTCAGAACTGCAGAGTAAATTTACATTTGCTAAAAATCATTAGGGGACCTCATTTTCACAGACATGCTTGACTGAAGCACACAAACCTTGTCCCAGTTTAGATATATGAAGAATAATCTATTTAAATTTATTTCTGCAGATGGGCAATGTAACACAATCCATAGAAATGTCATTGAAGAAGTTATGAATTGCATCTAATTTATAAAGCTCTAAAATGGAACCTGTGGGTAGTTCTAAATTGGATTGACAATTATTGCACATTGCCAGTCTTTGTATTTGATACCGTAAAACCCTTTGCAATGCAATTTAATAATACCAGGCATTTTATTTATTTCTGGTTTACAAAGGCCAAGTAATATTTGTAAGTTAAAATCAAGGCTGTATTTTATATGTAACTTTTTGTAAATTTCAAAAGTATTTACATATATATTGTATATAAAACAGAAGGTACTGCATTTAACATATGCTACCACCATTGCATGATAAGATATACATCAGGGTAACCTCATGGAGTGAATAAGTACATAAGTTTTAAGGGGATTATACCGTGTACATGTCACTAGTAGAGCTAGGGAATTGGGGCAGATTCATTATTTTAACTTTGTCAAGATTGCATGATTGGTTCTTTCTAGGTATAAAAAATTGTTTTATTACTTTTCATTGGTTGGTGAAGCACTGTAGGACAAAACTACTTGTGTAAGTATTTTTAAGCTATAGTAGAACCAAAGTATTGTACAGATAAGCAGAGAAATTTTATACAAATATTTATTGGTTATGGAATCATTCCACCTATGTACTGTAGTAACAAGTTTCAAGTAATAAAGCAACCAATCAAAAGTGTCTGGACATCATTGGTACAAGTGCATAATGTTTTGTTTTCACTCGGAAAGCTATTTATTACAGTTTGAATTTTGTTTGTGGTTTTGGATTATTTATGTAAGGGGCCTAAATCATGTTTTTGGCCATTTCTTTTAATATTTTGTATTGCCATTAGATAGCCTTGGTTACTAGCTCAATTTTGAGCTTTATTTGAAAGAAATCAGACAAATCTAAGTATCATTTTTGTTTCTAAAGTTGCATTGACTACCCACACAAGTCTAGCAATAATGGTGAGCTGACAACAAGGTTTTTCTGTTAAGTCTAAACCATAATCGGCTTAATTATATACAAATCATTGAAAAGTACATACAAATGTAAGTTATATAATTAAAACTGATATTGTTGAGGATTTGTGGCACCATTTTTGGTGGGAAATTCAAGTCTCAAAAACACACTTTTTCTTTTTTCTAGATTTTAAAAATGTTAATGGGTTTTGACAAAATTTGAAACATAATAGTGAAACCTTGACTCAATGATCCTCAATTTGGCAAATCTTGGGTTGGAATGCACACTTGGAAAAGCCGCCTGTCCTCCTAATTCAAGGCCAAAGTCCATTCCATGCACCCGCCAAACCCTCTGTTTATGAATGGAAAAAATATTTACATTGGACTCGCAACTGATGGTGTCCGAACACATCTGGAACAAATGCTTCACTGACTACTATTATTCGAACCATGACCCTGTAAATGCTTCACCCACATATCCCCTTCCCTTTCCAGACTGTTGTTGTCATAAGGGGGCTTGGTTGGCGGCGGCCGGTGTGTGATGCTCCATGGGATAGTCCTCTGTCCTTTTGAAGCCTTATGCTCCTGCTGCCATCTTCACTAATTGTGCTGGATCCCTTTTCCTTCAGTTTCATTTTGCCTATCCCCCTCCCTCTTCTCCTTTCTGATTATCATTTCCTGTCAACTTTTTGCCATCTCTTGATTATTCTTTCAATCATCATCTGTTTTGACGTCCGGGTGTTTGGAGAGGCACAATCTCTCACCCGAAAAACTGTGGTACCCCCATGTTTTGAGTGAGGGGACGCTATTATTGTCAATCTTTGCCTTTGTTGCTGAACCCGAGCTTGACGGACTGACGGTTCTTAAAGTGGCGATTGCCGTGCATACTGGGTATACCCAAGATGCACCCCTGGGGGGCCCTTGTCTTGTCAGGTGTCCTATCCTCTAATTGTGGCTCCATGGTGAGTATGGGGGCTTATTCAAGGATGAAATTATTACTTGTTCATTTATATGCCGATAATTGACCCTCTTTTCAACTTCGCAGGCTTGTGGGGTGGGCGACCAGCCCCCCCTCCCCCCCATCAAGGTGATTCGCCTTTCCTTCAACCACAGCTGCAACTTGTGATTGATGTTGTGTTGTCTTGTCTTGTCTAGAGGTTGCTGTGTTATCTTGAGATGATTTTGGGGCTTTGCGTCCCCACAGCCCAGTCCTCAACCTGGCCTCCTTTTTATTACACACCCCTAGGAAGCTGCCCGTATCATCTGTCTAACTCCCAGGTATCTATTTACTACTAGGTAACAGACATCAGGGTGAAAGAAACTCTGCCCATTTGTTTCCCGCCTCCACCAGGGATTAAACCCGGAACTTCTGGACTGTGAATCCGAAGCGCTCTCCACTCAGCTCTCAGGCCCCCCATAGCTTCAAGTTCTCTACAACTAAAACTTGTGCTATGACTTTTACTCTGAAGCAGCTCGTTCTTTGTCCCCCTTTATCATTTTATAGTCATCCCCTTATGTACAAAGATTCTGCTAAGCTTTTTGGGTTAATCTTTGACACTCGTCTTTGTCTTGGTCACCGGTACTGCTCTCTCTGCCTCTGTACGGCTATACGACTGTGTACCCCAAGGTAGTGTTCTGAGCACCACTGTTACACCTAACCTAACCAATACCTAAATATGTACAGAATGCTAATATAACAATATTAATTTATATTTAAAAAAAATCCTTTTTTGAATGAACTACATGTTAAAAATTGATGAATTCGTCTTTGGAGTCGACTGCTGGATGGAATGGACTTAGTCTGAGGATGGGTTGTGGAAAAGATGCCCATCATATCATAGATTAAAATTAAAAATTTCCGTAGTGAAATCAGCCCATAAAGCATGGTGAAATATGAGGGTATAAATGGTAACATTCTTAACACTTTCGCGCTATCTGGACGCGCCGGCGCGTTCGGTTTCGTCTAACGTAAATGCATAGTGGACATAAAGTTATGTCTACTTTTAAAATATTTGTATAAAATTCAATTTTAATCCGATTTCATTGGAGTTTGTTTCAAACGACGCGCCATGAAGTTCTCTTTCTCAACACTAGGCCGCCTGGCGCGTCGGCCTACCCGGTCACGTGACGGGCCCATTGTTTTCGTGTCACGTGTCGTGAGTCGATCACGCTCCCCTCGCGTGCCAAACTCGAGCATTTTTACCCGTTTCCGTGTGGATTATACCCAATTACTTCATCAAAAATGGATCAAGGTCAAGGCCCAAGCACTTCTACAAGCACTCAAGAAACATTGAGAGAACTTGGGGTGTACACATGTGGCACAATTAGAATGCTACGTGGCGCCCCAAAGGTATTGCAAGTTCTAGCCAAGGGTAAACTTCCACTGGATACCACAGTATACCGCCGCAAAGATAATACCTTCATTCTCCTGTGGAAAGACAAGCGAGTGGTTTCAATCATTACCAACATCCACAATGCAGACACTCGGCGAGTTCAGCGAAGGAAGCGAATTCGCAACCGAGACGGAACAAGTGGAATACAACAGAACAGTGAACAAACCGACTGCAATTTGCGAGTACAATAAGTTCATGAAAGGTGTGGACCACTTCGATCAAATGGTTAAATATTACCATTTTACCAGGAAAACTCACAAGTGGACCAAAAAGATTACCTTTTATTTCCTGTAAATGGCATTGCATAATGCCTATATTTTGTACAAATACAACACAACTGATCGAAAAAAGCTAACATTGCTACAGTTCCACGAAGTGGCAATCTGGGCCCTATTGCACTGGGACACAGAGGAGTGGCCTAAAACATCATCATCATCTCAACACTTGCGGCACGCTCCAGACATAAATGATGACACAGCTCCTGCCAATGCTGACGCCATGCCAACTCCCGGACCATCTGGTGTGAGGCAGCCTTTGTTCACTACACCACCTCAAGATGAAGCAGACAACGAATCTGAACCCGACATGTCTGCCACACTGCCAGTTGACGAAACTGTTTTGTCAGATGAATCTGACTCTCCTGCAACTCCTGTTACACCTCCAGCGAGAGGACCTGGCCGCCCTATTGTTGATTCAGAAAATCGCATGAACTACAAACTGAAACATGAAATTTACAGACTGCCCAAACGTCTCAAGTGTCATGCATGCACACGGTCCGGTAAAAGGAAGGACACGAACTATGGATGCAAGACCTGTGGTGTTGCACTCTGTGTTGTTCCCTGCTACACCAATTACCACCGGAAACAGGTGTATTGGGTGGTGAAGAAGTAACCACCCGCAACAGCTTCACTCCACCTACAAACCATCTGTTGAGCAACTTCAGGAATGAAGAACCTGAAGAAGGTGGAGAGAAGAACAAATGCTCAACTTACTGTTCCACAACCAGCCTTCCCTTGGTAAGTACACCTATTTGGTCCAAGTTTGTGTAGTATAATTTAGCTCATAGAACATTCTATTGCAAAAACATTGCCACAAAAATGAATGACATACATACAATAATAATATCAGAACAGTGAAATAAGTATAAACTTTCAAAGCAACGTTTCGCGCGTGTGTCGTCCGGTCACCGTTACCGGGTAACAGTGCGCCCACTTCCCACACTCTTGCGGGTGGGCCGGGACCATTATTCTACGATTATATTCATATCATCGTGTTGGGAATTTTATTGGGAGTCCATTGATACCAAAATTAAGGCTGTAGGACAATTGTAGAGGTGATAATAATCCCAAGAGTAAAAACATTTTGTTGCTGTTGAGCGCTCACGGCGACTCATCTTCGTAGTTATTTATTTCATGCTGGTATCTCTATAGCTTTTGTGACTTTTTTTTACTGGTGTTCTTCTAGAGAATTTTATTGCGAACACGTTGGTACCAAAATAAAATACGTAGCATGAAAACTAAGGTCAGAAAAGTAAAAAGAGTATACACATTTTTGTTTTTACGCTTAAGCGATAAAAACGCCACGCTGAGTGACCTTCGCCGAGAGCGCGAAAGTGTTAATAGGGCTTTTATCACCTTTTTATATTAATTTCCATAGATGGATAAATAATTAGAAGTAAGAGTTGCGGGCCTTAGGATAGCCATCGAGCATATTTAAAATCATTTTTTTTCTCCAGTTGTAGAAAATTTAAAAATATGGGCCCCTTCTTTTAAAATTAGATATCAGGGCTAGGGTATGGCAAATATGCTTAGATATGGTTAAACCTCTTTACAGACAGGTTCTCTTGGTGGTTGTCCTTCATCTTACAGGTTGAAATTTATATTTTGCTTGGTGAAATCTGCCCATACAGTGGGAAATATTAGGGTATGAATAGTAACTTAGTATGGGTCCAATTGCATTTTTAATGATTTTGGTAGATGGATGCAACATTACATGGAAAAGGCGAGGGGCAACCCATTCTCGCAAATTCGTAAAGTCAATATTGACTTATTAACTACGTGCATAGGTGATATACTAAACATAATAGATACCCTTAAAAAGATTCATAGAAAACACCGACCTTACCTAACCTTGTTAGTATCTTAAGATAAGCATCTTATTGCTTCGTAATTACAATTATTACTTAACCTATACCAATTATAGGTTAGGTGATTACCAATTATAGGTTAGGTAATTGCTTCGTAATTACAATTATTACTTAACCTATACCAATTATAGGTTAGGTAATAATTGTAATTACGAAGCAATAAGATGCTTATCTTAAGATACTAACAAGGTTAGG